TGGCCAAGGCGGGTAAGGGAGCAGGCTTGGAGGTGGAGGGCTGCGTGAAATGGAAAGCTTGGGAAAGTTCCCAGTGCCTGGAGGCTGACCACGTGGAACTACCAAGAGGGTAGTTGCAGGACTTCCCTGGCGGCCCAGTCGTTAAGACTCCGTGCTTCCACTTCAGGGGACGTGGGTTCAATCCCTGGTCAGGGAACTAAGATCTCGCATGATCCACGGCGTGGCCAAAAAAAAAAAAAAAGAAAAGAAAAGGTAGTTGCTTGGCTATGAGTCTGCAGAGACATTTGAGCTGCAGATAGAAATCTGGGCGTCGTCAGGGTGCAGCCAATATCAGATGACAGCTCTCCTCGGGGAGAGTATGGAGAGGACAAGGTCTGAGGACTAAGTTCTGAGACCCACCAATTGCAGACGTTGGAGAAGAGAGGAGAAGCCGGCCAGATTGAGAAGGCACAGCCAGGGAGAGAGGAGAGAAACTACAACAGAGGCGTCAAGATTTCCACTGACCATCCAGAATCTGACAGGCCCCCAAGCCCAAGCCTGGAGCCACCTTCCTCCTTAGAGCTTACTTTCATGGGATAATTTTTGCCAAGACCCCAGGGACTGCTCATGTTGTAATATTTTTACAGCGATCATGGAGCTGGGGACACCCTAAGACTAATATATTTATTTAGTCTTCCCCGGGTCACAGATTCCTTTGAAATCTAATGAGAGCAACGAGACAGGCTCTTCTTTGAAAAACGTACCCAACAGGCACACATTTTTGGATTTCAGGACCCCAGAAGGCCATCCCCAGATTTTCAGGTTAAGAAGCTCCACAGCGTTTATCTCATAGGGTGGCTAGCAGATGTATAAGTGATGACACCTTAGTTGTTTCCTGCAGAAATGTCGGTGTCCGGGCATGGAGCTGGGTCCCCAGAGTCAGCGCTTATGGCATCGCTCACCCTCCTGTTAGCTGAGCATTTGATGCTGAGATTGCTCTGTCACCATTAGCTACGTGACCTTTGGTGGCAGGGGCTGGCCTTCTCTGTGCCTAAAGGCGGGCACAGTGCTGAGTGAAGTGAAGAAGAGATAAGACCATGGGTTCCGTTTCTGGCTCTGCAGTTCACCTATGACCGTGGCAAGTTCTTAACCTTTCTAAGTCATGGGCTAATGATAGCTCTCTTATCAGCTGGGAAAGGTTTTTCAAGAGTTAAGCCATTCCAGGTTGCACAACCAGAGCCTGAAATATATAAATGCTCCTGTCAAAAAGGCCACTCACCTCACTTCCAAAAAATAAAGAGAGAACCACTCACAGCCATTAGGATGGCTACTATTTAAAAAAAAAATCAGAAAATGACAGTTGTTGGTGAGGACATGGAAAAACTGGTTGGTGGGAATGTAAATTGGTGCAACTTCCCTGGAAAAAAACACTGGCTATTCCTCAAAATACTGAAAACAGAACTACTGTATGACCCAGCAATTGTACTTCTAGGTATATACCCCCCAGATTGAAAGCTGGGACTTGAAGATGTTTGTATAACCAGCATGATTGACAGTAGCCAAAAGGTGGAAGCAACCAAGTGTCCACTGATGGATGAATGGATAAATAAAACGTGGTGCATGCAAACAGTGGAACAGTATTCAGTCTTTAAGTAAGGGAATTCTGCCACATGCTACAACGTGGATGAATCTTGAGTATATTATGCTAAGTGAAATAAGCCAGCCATAAAAAGACAAATACTGCACGATTCCACTTATATGAGGTCCCTAGAGTAGTTGAATTCAGAGACAGAAAATAGAATGGCAGTTACCAGCGGCTGGGTGTGGGAGTGATGATGTCAGTGTTTCATGGGGACAGAGTTTCACTTTGGGAAGATGAAAAGAGTTCTGGAGATGGATGGTGGAGATCGTTGCACAGCGATGTGAATGTACTTAATGGCACTGAACTGCACGGTTAAAAACAGTTTAGATGGTAAATGTTTTGTTATGTATATTTTGCCACAAAAATAGACATATATATATTTTTTCAGACATATTTTTTTCATGCACAATTTCTATTCTTTTTCTGTAATATCTTTTTGTAAAAATTTTATTTATTTAATTTTGGCTGTGTTTGGTCTTCGTTGCTGCGTTCGGGCTTTCTCTAGTTGTGGCGAGCGGGGGCTACTCCTCATTGTGGTACGTGGGCTTCCCATTGTGGTGGCTTCTTTTGTTGTGGAGCACGGGCTCCAGGCGTGAGGGCTTCAGTAGTTGTGGCTCGCGGGCTTAGTAGTTGTGGCTCACGGGCTCTAGAGCACAGGCTCAGTAGTTGTGGTGCACGGGCTTAGTTGCTCCGTGGCATGTGGGATCTTCCCGGACCAGGGCTCGAACCCGTGTCCCCTGCATTGGCAGGCGGATTCTTAACCACCGTGCCACCGTAATATCTTTATTGGAGTATAATTACTTTACAATTTTGTATTAGTTTCTGCTGTACAACAAAGTGAATCAGCTATATGTATACATATATCCCCATATCCCCTCCCTCTTGAGCCTCCCTCCCACCCTCCCTATCCCACCCCTCTAGGTGGTCACAAAGCACTGAGCTGATCTCCCTGTGCTATGCATCTGCTTCCCACTAGCCATCCATTTTACATTTGGTAGTGTATATATGTCGATGCTACTCTCTCACTTCATCCCAGCTTCCCCTTCCCCCACTGTGTCCTCAAGTCCGTTCCCTATGTCGGCGTCTTTATTCCTCCCCTGCCACTAGGTTCATCAGTACCAGTGTTTTAGATTCCATATATGTGTGTTAGCATACGGTATTTGTTTTCCTCTTTCTCTCTTACTTCGCTCTGTATGACGGACTCTAGGTCCATCCACCTCATTACAAATAACTCAATTTCATTCCTTTTTGCAGACATGTATTTTTAAAAAGCAAAGCAAGACACTGGGTTTGGAGGGTGGGGAATGGGGTCTTAAGCATGAGCTGAACAAGGTAACAAAGATGATGAAATAAATGGTCCTGGGTGATTGCTTGTGAGAAACAATTTTTTAAAAATTTAATTTAATTTATTTATATTTTGGCCACGCCACGTGGCTTGTGGGATCTTAGTTCCCCAACCAGGGATGGAACCCGGGCCATGGCAGTGAAAGCACCGAGTCCTAACCGCTGGACCACCAGGGAGCGTCCGAACAATTTTTTTCTTTTTAATTTCCGAAAGGCCCCTTCTTGGCTCACAGACCCTTCTGGAAAACTGACAAGATCAGTGGACCTTCCACTTAGAAATATACAACTTTGCATAAAATTTCTGGGACTTCCTATAACCTCTGAAAACCACCTGTTATCTCCTGGTTGAACAGTCCAGAGGAAAAACAGAGGAAGTGAGAATCAGGAGAGCAATCATCCATCATCAGTCATCCTTGGGGGAGAGAGAGGAGTGGCCTAGGGGCTGGGGGGCGTTGCTAAGGATGCTCCGCTTCCTTTCCTGGAGCTGGTGACTCATAGATGTTCACTTTTCAAAAAGCCATGGAGCTGTACACTTTTGTACACGACTTGTACGCAAATGGTATACGCCACCTCAATAAAAAATAAAACAGCAAAACAAAGTATTTTAATATCCAACCTATAAGAAAAAGGTTTGGGCTTCCCTGGTGGCGCAGTGGTTGAGAGTCTGCCTGCCGATGCAGGGGACATGGGTTCGAGCCCTGGTCTGGGAAGATCCCACATGCCGCGGAGCAACTGGGCCCGTGAGCCACAATTACTGAGCCTGCGCGTCTGGAGCCTGTGCTCCGCAACAAGAGAGGCCGCGATAGTGAGAGGCGCGCACCGCGATGAAGAGTGGTCCCCGCTTGCCACAACTAGAGAAAGCCCTCGCACAGAAACGAAGACCCAACACAGCCATAAAGAAAGAAAGAAAGAAAGAAAGCAAACTGTCAACAAGTAAAAATAAATAAACACTAAAAAAAAAAAAGAAAAAGAAAAGAAGAAGGTTTGACAGGAGATTCTCCAAAGTATTGACAATGGCACGCATTGCTACCAAGTAGGACCATGGCACCCTCCACTATGCCAAATGTTTTTGTATTGCTTAAACTTTGTGTTTTACAATCACTATAAATTCTTTTGTCATGAGGAAAAAACAATTAGTAAACATTTTTTTCTGCCCACAGTGGGGTTTTTTACAATGAATTTATTTATTTTTGGCTGCTTTGGGTCTTGCTGCACGCGGGCTTTCTCTAGTTGCAGTGAGCAGGGGCTACTCTTCATTGAGGTGCGCGGGCTTCTCATTGCGGTGGCTTCTCTTGTTGAGGAGCACGGGCTCTAGGTGCACGGGTTTCAGTAGTTGAGGCTCGCGGGCTCTAGAGCGCAGGCTCAGTAGTTGTGGCGCACGGGCTTAGTAGCTCTGTGGCATGTGGGATCTTCCCGGACAAGGGCTCGAACCCATGTCCCCTGCATTGGCAGGCGGATTCTTAACCACTGCACCACCAGGGGAGTCCCACCCACAGTGGGTCTGATTAGAACTTTCTGCCACAGTGGCAGTGTTCTGTATCTCTGCAGCCCAATAGGGTAGCCACCAACCACATGCAGCTACTGACCATGAATTAATTACAGTCGATTTACATCTAAATGGAAATTGCCACAGGTGGCTAGTGGCTATAGTATTGGATAGTGCCGGTGTAGGGCAGAGCATAAGGGCGTTTATTGTAATATTCTTGTCACCTTTCTGTAGCTTGGAACATTGTTCAAATAAGCCCATTTAAAAAAAGAGATCTATTTTAGGGCTTCCCTGGTGGCGCAGTGGTTGAGAGTCCGCCTGCCGATGCAGGCGACACGGGTTCGAGCCCCGGTCCGGGAAGATCCCACATGCCGCGGAGCGGCTGGGCCCGTGAGCCATGGCCGCTGAGCCTGCGCGTCCGGAGCCTGTGCTCCGCAACGGGAGAGGCCACAACAGTGAGAGGCCCGCTAACCGCAAAAAAAAAAATAAAAAAGAGATCTATTTTAAAACTTCAAGAGTAGTACAGTAACAAAGACCAGACACAGATGCTTTGGCATAATCATAAGGTAGCTTTATTAAATTCCTTTACTTTCTAAAAAACGATTACAAAAAGGAATACTTCATTTAAGTGTAATACTGTCTTTATGGACGTACCGTGGTTGGAAAGTGAAGTTAAAGGTCATGAATACACGTGAGAAGAGAGTGGGATCAGAGGCAGGACCCCCTGTAGCCTACCATGCCAAGTCCAGTGGGTAAGCTGGGGAGAAGGGAACACAGGGATAACTATGGACTTATAGGGGGTGTCAATGAACTGCTTCTAAAAGCTTAAAAGAAACACACCCACCGGCTCCAGGGCCGGACACACAGGCACACAACGCTTGTACTGCTTCTCAAAGCTGCCCAAAGCTGTGGCCTTCTGTCAGTGGTCATCCCCAGTCAGCTTGGGTTTCCTTTCCTCGCCATTTACACACACGCACGCACGCACGCGCGCGCGCGCGCACACACACACACACACACACACACACTGGGGTGTCTCTCTCCTTTGACCATTTAAGCTCTCTTGACTTGGGTACCATCCCTTCCATCAAAATCAAAGCAAGCCAGACTCCATCAAGCCAGGAAACCTACTTTTCTAGGAGAGAAGCCAGCACTTGGCTGTATTGAATGAACGTGTAAGTGCCGAGGGCTTGCTCTGTCCTGCTGGGGTTTTGGCTTCCACCCCAGCAGCTAGGCTGAGAACTGGACAAGAGAGGGCAGGACACCTAAGAACTAGGGATCTTACTCCCTCCCTGGTCACAAGGCACTTTTCGACGCTCGGAACCTGTCCCCCTTCCCCCCTCCCTTTTGTTTTTTTTTTTTTTTTTTTGGTCACAAAAGGAAGGAACAGGAAAGAAAACTTTGTTGAGATTCTGGGGACAAAATAGGCCATGCAGGAAACTACGTGTGTTGGGAGAGCCCCGTTTCCAGCAGGCTCCGTTCCAGGCAGCTCTGGAAAGCCTGTACGTTGTTAAAAAAAAAAAAAAACCCAGCTGGCCCTTGTTTGGTTTTCGGCAGAGCCCTGTCTCTTTAAGTTTGCACTGGGAGCCCTTGGGGGCAGCCAACTTTTAATCGAGCACACATGGAGTTTTTGGAACTGGTCCTATGCTTTGCCAACAATCTCATGCCCTGTTTTCTTTCCTTTGAGGAGAGAAATTCTGGAGTCTGGGGAGAAAAAGGATGGCCCTGCTACTGGCGTTCTAAGCCTAGGGATGCAAGGACCACTCTGGGGACCGGATTCATTTCCTGCATCTCCACATCTAAAGGATTTTCTAGGAAAATGAGTATTTGCCCGGGCCCCCATGTGGGGAGGGGACGGATTTCTGGGTAATCTCTCGATATGAACTACTTGCACACCTTGGCTGCTGGGTCCTGAGCCCCCCCACCTGAATGAGGGCGTGGGAGACACTGGCAGTGGCCACGTGAAGGCAGAAGAAACGACTAAACTTCCTGCCCCGGGTGACAAAGACAGGGTCTGTTTTGTGAAGAGACCAGAAGAAAATTCCACCAAGAAAGCCGTCTGGGGAGGGGGAAGTGGACAAAATGCTATTATATACCGAACAGTTAAATGTAGGGGAGCGAGCGGGGGGCGCATGAGGCCACTCCAGACGTGATCCGTGCGTAATCACATTGAGGATTAAAATGAAAATATGCGATTCCAGTGACTTTCAAATTCCCCCCCCCTCCCCGAACATGATTCAGAAGTACAATATTTTTCCCTCTCACCCTCCTCCATCCTTAATGGCCAGTTGATTGTTCTCAGCGTTCTTCGCAAACCCACGCCCCAGCATCAGCCACTGGCGCCAGTTTATATAAGAATTTAGCTTCGGTCTGCGCTGCGGCTGTTTTGAACCGGGGTACTGGGAAAAAACCTGCTTTCGGCTGAAGTCTCAGAGCTGTTGGGGGCTCCCTGGGGAAGCAGAAGAAAACCCCACTTGCATTTGAGACTTGGGCCTTGGTGGGTAGAGTGGGGGCCGGCCAGGGAGGGGATGAGGGACCAGGGATGGTTCGCTCTGGGGCTGCCTGGCCCCCGGGAGAGGCGCCTCGGGCCCCTCTGACGGCTACTCTTCTGCGGAGGATGACGCAGGACTCTCCTCATCCGACATGGGGGCAAACTGAAACGAGAGGCAGAATTCCTTTTGTTTGGCATCCTTTCCTGTGCTATGAGGCGCCGACTTTGTTGGCTGGCCCCGCGCCTGCCGTGAGTGAACAAGAGGCCTTGGTTTCTTGGCCTCAAGGAGGTGACGTTGGGGAGATGCTTCGGAGCAGCTCACAGATGAATGCAGTGGAGGGTTTTTCCTGAGGGATAAGGGGTGGAAGGCAGTGAAAGTGGAGAGTGGGCGGTTGGGGAGGGTGACGTCTGAGCTGAAGGATGTTAGGGGTCCAGCCAAGGGGCAGGGCGTTCCAGGCAGAGGAAACAGCAAGTGCAAAAGCCCTGAGGCAGGAGCGGCGACCAGGCCAGTGTGGCTGGAGCAGAGTGAGCGAGGGGGAGAGGAAAGAGAGTGGGGGCAGGTGAGGGGTGTTGAGCAGGGCTTGGTGTGCTCTGGAGATGACTTCTGCTTTTTTCTCTAAGTGGGGTGGGAGCCACAGAGGGCTGTGAGCAGAGGAGGGATGTACCCCGACTCAGGTGCTCACAGTGGCCTCTGGCCGCTGTGGGGAGAACAGAGTGGAGGGGACAGTGAGGGTGGGAGCCAGGGAAGCAGAGCGGAGGCAGCGGCAATGGTCCAGGGAAACAGTGATGGAAGAGTGGGATTCATCCCTCAGGAGCCCTGGGAAGCAGGACCACAGATCAGACAGCAGGACGCCACCCAGCCCCATCACCCCCCATTTTCCAGCTGAGGACATGAAGGCCCACAGCTGATCCCAAGGGGATCCCCTAAGCACCACAACTGAGGCTCAGGTGTCCTAACACCCTACGCAGTGAAGGCGGAAAGACTCGGAGGCTCAGGAAGAAGCTGGAAGCCAGTCAGGACCCAAATGGCTTTGGCCTCAGCAACCTTTTCTCTCCTAGACCATCTGGGGAATCGCTGTGGTTGACGCCCACCACGCCACCCTTGAACCTGGCCCCAGACGTGCCTGGGGAGGCCGGGGCAGGTACAAGGTAGGGGTGAAGAGGAGGGGGCAGAGGGCTCCTGCCCGTGGTCTGGATTCAGACCCCGAGGTCTCTCCGCCCCTTCCTGTCTGTGAGACTTTGGGCCAGGAATGTAACCATTCAAAGCGTCAGCTTCCCCACCTGAGAAATGGTAATAGTAACAGTACTTTATGCAACTGAATTGGGTTATTGTGGAAGGTTCCAGAAATCATGCTTGGGAGGCACGCCAAAGTCCTCTGTGTGGTAATTAAGAGCATGATTTGGAGCTAGACAGATCCGGGTTCGAATACCGCGATGCCAACCATAACCATGCAGTCTCAGCTCTCGTGCCTTATTTCCTCGCGGGGGCACCGTGAAGGTTCAACAAGCAGCTGACCATGCAGCCCTTGGGATGGTCCCCATACGCCATCCCTTCCCAGAGCCCCGCCCCCGCTGCCCTGCCCGGGCCGAGACTCACCGAGCACTTGATGTTCATGCGAGAGTACAGCAGGGATGCAATTTCACTGTGTCCTGCATCCAAGGCCACCATCAAAGCCGTGCTCCCGTCCTGCAAAGCATCAGTTGCTATGCTGACACCCTGCACCATGTCCCCGCCCTCCCCGGAGTGCGCCTGGGTGGGGACTCACGCGGTCGGTGATAGAGATGTCGCAGCTGGGCACAGCCAGCAGCAGCGCCGTGATCTCCTTGTGGCCGTGCTCGCAGGCACACATGAGGGCCGTGGAGCCGTCATCATCTTGGACGTTGACGTCCGCCTCGCAGGCAAGCAGGGCTTTGACCACGTCCACCCGCCCGTGGCTGACCGCCAGCATCAGGGCTGTCTGCCCCGCCTGGGTAGGGCAAGGAACAGCTTATGGATCATGCAGCCTCCAGAGCATGACACCCCTGCTCCGGAACCATCCATGGTTCCTGAGTACTCTGACGCTAACAGCACCTCCACTCACGGGCCTCCTTCTGTATCTCAAATAATCCTTCCTACCACTGGGCCTTTGCACTTGCTGATCCGTCTTCCTCCTGCTGGCTCCTCCCTCAGGTCTCAGCTTAAATGCCTCCTCCTCAGGGAGAAGCTCTGTGCCTCCCCACCGCTATGCCCACTTAAATCAGGTCCCTAACTCACGGGTGCAAACGTAAGTAAAATGTGTTGAGCTAAGAGTTGTACACTTTTCTGTCTGCCAGTTAAACTTCACTGTAAAGAAAAAATCAACATCCATCAGTGGATGAATGGATAAAGAAATTTATATATCCATACTACAGAGCATTATTCATCCTTAAAAAGAAATGAAGGCCTGAAGCATACTGCAACATGGATGAACCTTGAAACTATTATGCTCCGTGATAGGAGCCAGACACGAAAGGACACGATACTACATGATTCCATTGATATGAAATATCCGGAACAGGCAAATCCACAGAGACAGAGAGCAGACTGGAGGGGGCCAGGGGCTGGGGGAGTGAGGATGGGAGTGACAGCTGTGGGTGCCGGGTCTCCTCTCAGGATGTAAAGATGTTCTGGAGGTAGACAGAGATGTGGGTTGCACAGCATTATGGATCGATTTGTTCACTTTAAAAGGGTTAATCTTATGTGCACTTCACCTCAATTTTTAGAAAAGTAAACCACCTGGGCATACATCTGGAAGGACGAAAGCTCGAATTCAAAAAGATACATGCACCCCAATGCTCATAGCAGCACTTTTACAACAGGCAAGACTTGGAAGCAACCTAAGTGTCCATCGACAGATGAATGGATAAAGATGTGGTACATATATACACGATGGAGTATTACTCAGCCATAAAGAAGAATGAAGTAATGCCATTTGCAGTAACATGGGTGGACCTAGAGATGACCAGACTAAGCGAAGTAAGTCAGAGAAAGACAAATATTATCATATGATATCATTTTATATGTGGAATCTAAAAAAATGATACAAGTGAACTTACTTACAAAACAGAGACAGACTCACAGGCATAGAAAACAAACTTATGGTTACCAAAGGGGAAAGGTGGGGGGAGGGATAAATCAGGAGCTTGGGATTAACAGATACACACTACTATATGTAAAACAGATAAACAACAAGGTCCTACTGTATAGCACAGGAAACTATATTCAATAGCTGGCAATAACCTATAATGGAAAAGAATCTGAAAAAGAACATATATGTAAAACTGAATCACTTTGCTGTACACCAGAAACTAACACAACGCTGTAAATCAACTATACTTCAATTAAAAAAAAAAGTAAACCACCAAGAAAAAAATTTTAATTAAAAAAAAATCAGTAAAAAAGCAAGGAGGGTCTGCCTGTTATGCACCACGGCAGCACCTCCCCCTTTTCCTTTGCTGTGGTAAGGCTGCTGCTAATCTCTCCCTTCCTTGCTGTTCCCACGGGGTCCTGGGTGCCCTGCTCTTCTGCCCAGACACCCATCCATGCCCCAGTCACCTCCACAGTCTCCCAGCTTCTGCTCCCCAACATACAGCCGAAGGGAGATTCCAAACCAGAAAGCAGCCCTCGCCCCTGCCCTGGTGGCTTCCCACAGCCCTGGGTCCAAACCCCTGCTAAGCCTCCAATGCTTGGGCTCCTGGAGCTCCTGGCTGGCTAGTGAGCTTTGGGAGGGTGGGGACTGTGCCTGCTTGTCAAACATTTAAGTCCCCAGCGTCCAGTTGCTGGTCAATAAATTACCAAGCAGGATGTGGGATGGCGTCGGCTTAAGGAAAGCTGAGGACCCCCATGTCTTCCCACATCCCCATTTCCACCATGAGGTTCTGTATCAGAGGCACCCTGGCAGGCAGGTCATTAAGAATGGGGCTCTCGGGGGCTTCCCTGGTGGCGCAGTGGTTGAGAATCCTCCTGCCAACGCAGGGGACACGGGTTCGATCCCTGGTCCGGGAGGACCCGCATGCCGCGGAGCAACTAAGCCCGTGCGCCACAATTACTGAGCCTGTGCTCTGAAGCCAGTGAGCCACAACTACTGAGCCAGCGAGCCACAACTACTGAGCCCACATGACACAACTACTGAAGCCCACATGCCTAGAGCCCGTGCTCTGCAACAAGAGAAGCCACCACAATGAGAAGCACACTCACCGCAACGAAGACCCAATGCAGCCAAGAATAAATAAATAAAATAAAAAATTTTAAAAAAAGAATGGGGCTCTCGGGACTTCCCTGGAGGTCCAGTGGTTAAGACTCTGTGCTTCCACTGCAGGGGGCGCAGGTTAGATCCCTGGTTGGGGAACTAAGATCCCACATGCCATGTGACACGGCCAAAAAAAAAAAAAAAAGAATGGGGAGCTAGACCCCCAGGTTCAAGTCCCCCCCTCCTCTAGTTTGACCTTGAGGAAGTGAATACGTCTCTGAGCCTTGGTTTCTTTGCCTGTGGAGTGGGGATTCTCCCCTTGGGCTTGGGTATGGCCAGGACTTAATAAATGGGAAGAGTTATCCCGGTCTGCAGCGCCGAGGGCCTGTACCTGGCTGGCTCTGGCATTGACATCTCCAAGCCGGAAGAGCTGCAGGACAGTCTCGAGGTCATGCTGGGTCTTCAGGGTGGCCAGGGCGGTGAGCATGATGGGGCTGTAGCCGGCGCGGTTCTGCTTGTCTACCTGGCAGACACCTGAGGGGAGGGGACCAGGAGGACGACAGGCCTTAGACACCCCTGATGCTGGCCAGGTCTGCCTTAAGGCTGGGGGGGGTTGGTCCCCGAGGACCAGGTCATGTCTCTACCATCAGCCTGGAAGCCTTGTTCACGACCATAGTGAGCACTGGGAATCATGCCTCCTCCAGCAGTCTAGGCCTGGCCTAATTACTCCTTTTTCTTGGACTGAGAACCCCATTCTGGCCTAGGGTCTCCATCTCTATTATGGGAGGGGCTCCTAAAGGTGTAGACTGTGCCTCGTCCATCAGACTGGGGCCCCCTGGATACTGGCACCCACATTTAGGGCTGAAAGGAGAAGCTGTGTCTCCCTCATTGATCTGGAAGAGTCCCTAGTCAGTTTCCTCCATGAGACTGTGGGCTCTGCCTCCTTCATCAGACTGACCAGGGGGCTCTGTCTTCCCCATTACACTAGGGGAAAGCAAATTTCTTCCTGTCGAATTGAGGACCACATCTTCTCTCCAAGCCCCAGGCCAGAGGCCACATCCATGTCTTTCCCTCAGACTAGGGTTCCAGAGGTGTCACTTTCTTTATACAGGGGTCATTGGTTGGGGGGGGGGGGGGGAAGGGCCACATATTTTCCCTAAGACCATGTCTGCCTTTTCCAGTACACCGGGGCCACAGGTGGGGCCTGTATCCCCCTCACCTCAGACGGGGAGAGCGGCGTCTCCCCCATCAGACGGGGAGGGTGGCGTCTCCCCCATCAGACGGGGAGGGCAGCATTTCCTCCATCAGACTATGAGGGTGGCCTCCCCCACAGACCAGGAGGGCAGTGTCCCCACTGTCCCCGCCCCGCCTGGCTCACCGCTGTCGAGCAGCTGCCGCGCCACGGGGAAGTTGGCGTGGGACACGGAGTAGTGCAGTGCGGTGTTGCCGTTGCTGTCGGCGATGTTGACCACATAGTCCAGCAGCCGCGCCGACATGGCCCGGAAGGTGACCAGGTGGCGCCGCACAAGCTCTGGGTGGGCATCGCTGCGGCAGGCCAGGCGCAGCCACTCCTGCAGCACCGTGGTGTAGGCCACTTTCTGGATGCAGATTGGGAAGGAGAGGGGTGTGAGGGCCACGGAAGCCCACCCCATCCCAGACGAAGCCCCCCAAGGGGAGTGCAGACACCCCACCCTGAGCCCCAGCCTTGAGGGGAAGCATGGGCGCCCCACCCCAGTGAGCCCCCCTGGAGGAGAATGCAGTGTCCCCTGCCCTGTACAAGAACCCTAAAGGGAAGTGTAGACACTGCAGTACCAGGTACGCCCCCAGAAGAAGGTGTGAGCATCTCCATCCTGGATGTGACCTTCAAAGGCATGTGTAGACACCCATCAAGGGAAATATGGCAGCCCCTTCCCTCAAGCCCCCGAAGGAACAGGAACCAAGGCTGGGTTTGCCGGCGGGCAATCGTCCTTGGCCCCTCCCTGCCTCCCTGGAGCCTCTCCAAAGACCAAGACTCAAGCCTCGGAGCCCCCCACAAGCTCCCAGCTAGGATCCTGGGGTCCCCATGATCCAAAGCACAAGGAGAAGCCAGGGTGAGGGTGGAAGGGACAAAGCCCTCCCCGCCCCGCTTTCAGGCCCAGGGCCCCACCATACCAGCTCCCGTTCGGTGAGGGCATTGGGGTTCTCCAGGTACTTCTCCAGGGCCAGGCAGGCTGAGATGAGGTCGGGGCTGAGCTCCATCCTGCCGGTGGCAGACAAACGGGGAGTTGATCTTGGAAGCACCCACCTCAGCCTCCTGGGTGCCCCCTACTCCCCACATCCAGCTGGGGTGCTCGGAGAGGCCCTCAACACTCTCCACCAAGGCACTCACCCAGTCCTGCCAGGGCTCACCTGAGTGATAGAATCTCAGACCCCCTTCCCTGGGGACATAATTTTACACAGCACCCCAAGGGGCAGACATGGGGAGCACACAGACCGCAAGAGAAAGTGGACACGTGGGCCAAAATTTATTCCAAGTGGCCAGTGGCAGATGGAAAATCTTTCTCTGAGGACAGATTTTTTTTTTAATCAGGGGAAAAACAAAAAGAGACATACGGATGGACAGGTGTGGCAAATGTCCCAAAGAAGGTGGATGGCTTAAGGACAAACTTGGTCTGCCCCTTAAACCCAAACCTGAACAGCCCAAATTGCCCCCATCAGGCCCTTTATCAAAGCCTCCGGACCTTCAGATGCCCAGAAGGAGAAAGTGCTTGTTCACTAATTCAGACTAAGGTGGGCATGACTGATGGGAGGTTCCCTCAGAGGGTTTGAATGGTGGGATCTGAGGTCACCCCAGGCCCTGCCTAAATCCCTCCCACACAGAAAACTGACCGGATCTCCTCTTCCGCACTTGATCCCGACGCCCCCTCAGCTGTGGGCGCCTGCTGAGACTCCCGGGACAGCTGGCACTCCTCCCGGCTGATCTTGGCCTTTGCCGTCTCCTTGGGCCTGAGCTGGGGGGCTTCAACCACACTCGGAACCCTCTCCTCTGGCTCTGGGGCCTCGTTCTCTGTACTGTCATTGTCCGAGAAGTTCTCTGCTGTGCTGGAATCCTCGGATGAGGACTCATACCTGGGGGAGACGCTGCAGGTGGTGGGGAGGGTCATTTGACCTCTCTGGGCCTCAGTTTCCCCATCTGTTAAATGGGGGTAATGGCAGTATCTAGCTCACAGGGCTCCAGGGATGCAGCTTATAGCACCTGGCACACAGTAAGTGATCAACAAACACTGGCCGTGATTGTGATCATGCTTGGGGGGGCCAGGGAGGGACATTGCTTTTCCCTTCCACCCTTTGGTACCTCTTACACTTTGCTCCTTACACAGGTGTTATACTGATTCAGACCCTTGTCCCACTGCAAATAGGACCCTCATGCTTCTTGCTACCTCCAAACACATCTAAACTTCTGGGCCTGGCATCCAAGGCCCCCAACTGGCCCGGTTCCCCAGGCCTCCCCTTTTTTTTTTTTTTTTTTTTTTTGCGGTACGCGGGCCTCTCACTGTTGTGGCCTCTCCCGTCGTGGAGCACAGGCTCCGGACGCGCAGGCTCAGCGGCCATGGCTCATGGGCCCAGCCGCTCCACGGCATGTGGGATCTTCCCGGACCGGGGCACGAACCCGTGTCCCCTGCATCGGCAGGCGGACTCTCAACCACTGAGCCACCAGGGAAGCCCCAGGCCTCCCATTTTTCACATCACTGCTTCCTCCCACCCCTGAGCCTTTATCCAGGCTGTGTCCTCCATCAGGAGACCCCACCCCTCCCACTCTGCACCTCGCAAGCTTCTGCTTGTCCTGCAGCACATGTGCTCCCCTCCGTCAGTTATTTCCTTGGTCCCCCCACTGCCTGAGCATCCCCCATCATTGCTCCAGTCATGTTGTGTTGGGATCGCCTATTAGGGCCCAAGATCGCAGTGGACCAGGAGCTCCATCAGGGCAGGGAGCCGAGTCCGGCACCTCCCGAGGGGTAGTGTGGTACAGTGGTTGCAGCACAGCCTCTGGAGCCAGCCCACGGGGCCTCGTTGTGCCTCCGTTTCCTCGTCTGTCTACTGTGCTTTGGTTAAATGAATGAACCATAAAGTGAGGGGCTCAGACCAGGTTCTCTCACCTGCCGTTGACCCCCACGAACTGGAGGCTCCTCCGGCGGGTCTCGGGGTCTGCGGGCTCCTCTTTCCGCTTCATGATGGATGGCACACCTGCCGGGGGCCCTCCTGGTGGGGGAGCGTGGTGTCGTGAGGGTCTCCCAAAGCCAGACCCCATGCCGGGCCTCTGGCACCTGACCCTTTCGGTGGCCGCCCCCATTTACCTGCACCCCCGGCCTCCTCTGACTCCAACTCCTGTGGGGCTGCTTGGCTGGTAGGCTCCCTGTTGGTGGCGTCGTGGGCAGGCACCAGGCCTGTGTTCTTCTCTGGCTGCGCGAGGGAGTCCCCCTCAGACTCTGGGGGTGACAAGGATGACTCTGCAGGAGCCTGTGGGAGACCTGAAGGGGCAAGAAAAGAGGTGCTTACCGTGGGTAACAATAGCAAAACAAGAACAGTAACAACAGCTACCTCCTGGCGGGGGGGCCGGGTCACATACCCCAGGCCAAGGGCTAATTCTTGCATTATTTCATCAAATCTTCCCAGCCCATGCAGAAGTTGGATTATTTACCGATGAGGAAATTGAGGCACACAGATTGCCTGAGGCCACCCAGCAAACAAGTAGCAGAATCCATTCCAACCCTGGTTTGTTGCCTGCCTCGCAGTGGGTCAGGGTCAGGGAAGACTACGAGACCCCATAATCCTGGCTTGTGACCCCCTCCGACTTCATACTAAGTAGTGTCTGGAAACTATAGCCAAGCATAGTGGTCATGGTCGGGACTCATATCTCCCACAAAAGAGCTGTGTGACCTCAGGCAAGTCACTTAACCTCTCTGTGCCTTGGACAAACACCATTTCCTACATCATGGCATTGTGCAGACTAAAGACAGTAATGTGAGGGAGAGAGCTTAGAACAACACCTGCACATCAAGAGCACTTGAAGAGCATTTGTTAATTCAAGAGAATTGTAAACTATATTTTGATAAGATTTAATATTATACTTTTTTTTAACAGACGTAGGGTTGTGCTGTAGATAACATTTTGTATTTCACTTCCTTCTTCTTTACTTAACATAAAGCAGGGGATTTCCCTGGTGGCGCAGTGGTTAAGAATCCATCTGCCAATGCAGGGGACACGGGTTCGAGCCCTGGTCCGGGAAGATCCCACATGCCACGGAGCAACTAAGCCCGTGCGCCACAACTACTGAGCCTGTGCTCTAGAGCCCACGAGCCACAACTACTGAGCCCACGCGCCTACAGCCCATGCTCCACAACAAGAGAAGCCACCGCAATGAGAAGCCCGCGCACCGCAACGAAGACCCAACGTAACCAAAAAATAAATAAAAAAAAAAAAAGAAATTAAGCAGGTGTTCCTTTTAATAATCATGAAAAAGAAACAATAAGGGCTATTAGAAAGTGAAAACTAAAACCCCACCCAGGTGGAGTTTCAGTTTGGGCCAATGAAAAAGTTCTGGGAATGGAGGGTGGGGACAGTTGCACAACAAAGTGAATGTGCTTAATGCCACTGAGCTGGACACTCAAACGTGGCAAAAATGATACCTTTTATGTTATGTATATTTTATCATCATTAGAAAAAACCCCGCCCAGTTTGGTCTGAGAACAAAGGTGATATTATAGGACCTGGGCCCCAAGGGTGCCCACTGCACAAACGGGAGTGGGCTTGGCAGACAGCTCCAGCCCCGGATCACCAGCCTGGAGCTAGAAACAAAAGTCCAGTTGCCACTTGGAGTGGCTGTCCGGGTCTCGGAACCCACTCAGGTTCCTCCCCCAACCCCTGCCCCGGCCAGGCCACGTGTGGCTTCTGTGTCACCACTTCTCCAGGATGTCCCCTTCCTGCCAACTGGCCAGGGGCTCTGCAGACCAATTCATTTTAATTCCCTTTAACGGTTAACTTTTTTTGACATCCACAGTGACTACTTCCTCAAGTCCATGGGCAACACTCAACTTGAGCTAAGAACGGGGAGTAAACACTCAGCAGAAGTAAAGCACATAGAACGGATAAGACATTGGCCATGAATGCTTCCGACAGCGCCCCAGCCCAGTCGGGCCAGGCGGATTCCTGAGCGGGGAGCTCCAACTCCCATGGGGAACCAAGAGCAAACACCGGGTTTTTACATGAATCTCCAGATTGTTTTTTAAACCGTGTCAATAAATTCACATCAAACAAACAAACAAAAGCACTATGTGAGTGGAATTTATCAGGAGGCAGATGGGCCACTTCACGGTCTCACGGTTGCCTGAACTCAGGCCTCCTGATGTAAACACCTGGGATGTTTGTTACTCAGCAAATCAGACAATGCTCAGTGAAAGAAGCCAGTCACAGAAGGACAAATACTGCATGAATCCACTTATATGAGGTTCCTAGAGGAGTTAAATCCATAGAGACAGAAAGTAGGATGGTGAGTGCCAGGGGCTGGGGAGTGAGTGTGTGATGGGGCAGAGATTCAATTTGGGAAGATGGAAAAGTTCTGGACACAGATGGTGGGGATGGTTGGACAGCAGTGTGAATGTGCTTATTGCCACTGAACTGGACACTTAAAAATGGTTAAGAGAGTAAGTTTTATGTTATATGTATTTTACCGCAATTTTTTAAAATGTGAAAAAAAAAAAAAAAGGTGAAGTGGTGCAGCTGTATGGCCCGTTCTGCCCGGAGGGAAAAGCATGGCTCCTTCCAGCTTGATAAGTTCAAGGTCAGACACCACAACACTAAAATAACAATAACAAAACTGATAACAGTTATTATTGTTATTCTACTGGGAGATGGAGCAAACTGTTACCAAAATTTATAAGGAAGAACAAAAGTCCATGGCCAGCTAATTTTACAAAAATGGGCAGGGATGGGGAAGCTGGCTTAGGAGAGAGTAACACATATTCCCAAAGTCACAATAATTAAATCAGCAGGGCATGGTTGCAAGAAGAAATGGGCCAAAGGAAAGGAGTTCCAGCACAGACCCTGTCTGAAAGAACTTGGGGTAAAGCAGAGGGCTTTCCACAAATCAGTGGTCAAGGGTGAGCTCTGTGGGGTGGTGTAGGGAAAGCAGCTTACTCTGCCCAAGAAAAATCAGGCTGGATCCCTACCTCACACCTTATGCAAAAAATAAACTCCGAAGGACTAATATGAAGGCACAATGACAAAGCTACAGGAAGAAAATAAGGCAGAATATCAGTGGCCTCAAGAAGGGGAAAGATCCCTTTAGAAAGCCCTCTGAACACTAACCATATATGAAAAGTATGAGGTGATCTCACTTAAATGTGGAATAAAAAAAACAAAAACAAAACAGAAAAACCTCAGAGATACAGAGAACAGATTGATGGCTGCCAGAAGCAGGGGATGGGTGGGATGGGTAAAGGTGGTCCAGAGGTACAAACCTCCAGGTATAAGATACAGGCATACCTTCTTTTAGTGGGCTTCACTTTATTGTACTTCGAAGATACTGCATTTATTTTACAAATTGAAGGTTTGTGGCAAACCTGCATCGAGCAAGCCTATTGGCACAATTTTTCCAACAGCATCTGCTCCCTTTGTATCTTTGTGTCACATTTTGTTAATTCTCACAATATTTCAAGCTTTTTCATCATTATTAGATTTGTTATGGTGACCTGTGATCAGTGATGTTTGATGTGACTATTGCAAAAATGTTATGACTCGCTGAAGGCTCAGATGGTGGTTAGCCCTTTTTAGCAATGAAGTATTTTTTAATTAAGGTATGTACATTATTTTTTTAGACATAATTCTACCACACACTTAATAGACTACACTACAGTGTAAACATAACTTTCATATGCACTCGGAAACCAAAAAATTGTGTGGCTCCCTTTACTGCAGGGGGTCTAGAACCGAACCCGCAATATCTCTGATGTATATTTGAAAGTTGCTAAGAGAGATCTTAAAAGTTCTCATCACGAGAAAAAAAACCTGTAACTCTGTGAGGTGATGGATGTTAATTAAACCTATTGTGGTAATCATTTTGCAGTATGTACGTATATCCAATCATTAATTTGTATACTTTAAACTGATATATGTCAATTATATCTCAATAAAGCAGAAAATATCAAAAATTAAAAGAAGAAAAATACGATGGGTTTAACTACATCAACATGAAGATTTCTATTTGGTTAAAAGAAAAAAAACTCTTAGACAAAGTTAATCTACAGAAGAATACAGGCTGTGGGAAGATAGTCATAATGCCAAAAACAGGCAAGGGATTACTTTCTGGAATAGGAGTCAACAAGATTTTTCTGTAAAGGGCCAGATAGTAAATATTTTGGGCTATGCGGGCTATAAGGTCCGCTGCAAATAGTACAAAAGCAGCCCTAAACAGTACATAAATGAGTGGGCATGGCTGTGTGCTAATAAATTAGAATTTCATATAATTTTGCTCATATCACACAATGTTATTCTTCTTTTCACATTGTTCAACCATTTAAAAACATAAAAACCATTCTTAGCTCATGGGCTATATAAAAACAGGCAGTGGGCTGGATTTGGCCCTGCAGGCTGTAGTTTGCCAACCTCTATTCTGAAATATGCCAGGAACATCTCAAACTTGCCCAAAGAAAAATGGACAAAGGCTAAAACTAAGCAACTCACCAAGGATTCTTGTTAAACTTATATGGTGATGCTCAACCTCACCAGAAATCAAAGGAATGCAAATTAAAACAAGGAGATATGAAACGAACACAACATCGTAAAACAACTATACCCCAATTAAAAAAAAAAATACAAAAACGAAAAAAAACCAAGCAGATACCACCTTGCACCAGTGTCAAATGGGCAAAAAATTAGAAAGATAGGTAAAACTGTATGTTAATGCAGATGTAGGGAAGTGGGCACTTCAGGCCCAAGCATGGCCGCTGGGAACGTGGACAGGGAGACCTTTTCCGAAGAGGATAAGACAAAATCTGGAGTGAAGTTGTACATTCCCTGTGACCCAGCAGGCCCACCAGAGGGGACATGTGAGGATGGCGCCATACTGTTCAAAGCGGCCAGGAGCTGGAAGTAACCCAGGGGCCCACCAAGCGGGGGCGGTGGTGGGGGGATCAGATAAGAAAGTGTAGCACATACCTAGGGCAGAAATCTACACAGTCATTAAAAGTGACAAACCAGATTTATAAACATCAGGGTGGAGAGTTCCAAAATAGTGTGTAGAGAGGAAAAAATAAGAAACAGAATGAGAAAAGAAAAAAAAAAAAGAAACAGAATGAGATTTTTTTTTCCCCTAAAGCACAATACCATTTTAGGAAATTAAACAAGCATAGGGCATAGTTTTCAAGAACACTCAAATATCTAAATAAGCTTCTGGAAGATGGGTGGCAAGGAAAGATATTACAGTGGGGTGGAGGTGTGTGACTGAGCAGCGGTTGCTGAATCACGGCCCATGGACACGGTTTTTACATTTTTAAATGGCTGGGAAAAAATCAAAAGAAGGATTCTCTTTGGGACACGTGAAAATTATAGGAAATTGAAATTTCAGTGTCCACACGTTAAGTTTTATTGGTACACAGCCATGCTCTTTCATTTATGCATTGGCTAAACCTGCTTAAGTGCTACAAAGGCAGAACTGAGAAGCCAAACTCATCAAAATGTATACATTAAAAATGTGGGGCTTCCCTGGTGGCGCAGTGGTCGAGAGTCCGCCTATCGATGCAGGGGACACGGGTTCGTGCTCCGGTTCGGGAGGATCCCACATGCCGCGGAGCAAGCTGGGCCCGTGAGCCATGGCCACTGAGCCTGCGCGTCCGGAGCCTGTGCTCCGCAACGGGAGAGACCACAACAGTGAGAGGCCCGCGTACCACAAAAAAAAAAACAAAAAAAAAAAACATTTAAATCACTTGGCCAACCTGTACACGGAGGGTGTGTGTTTGTGTGTGTGTGTGTAAAGCAATTTGGTAACAGACATCATGGTCCTTAAAAATGCCCTTCCGCAGTCCAGAGGGCCCAAGTTCGATCCCTGGTCCAGAAACTCAGATCCCTGGAAGCCACTTGGCGAGTCCAAAAAAAAGGGGGTGGGGGGATCAAGGGTTCCCATAGAAGGACATTTGCATAGCATCTTTGACAGTAAAGAGTCACCCGGCTGTTAAAAAATAAATAGCATGTCCCAAGAATTATTTTTGGCCGCGCCTTGCAGCTTTCGGGATCTTAGTTCTCTGATCAGGGATTGAACCCACAGCCTTGGCAGTGAAAGCATAGAGTCCTAACCACTGGACCGCCAGGGAATTCCTCCAAGAATTTTTAACAATGTGATGAAATGGCCCTGGGATAATGTTAAATTAAAGAAATCAGAGAGTTTAAATCCTGGCTTTGAAAACTGTGGGCAAATTCCTTTACCTCCCAGTGCCTCAGTTTTCTCATCTGTAAAATGGAGATAAAAACACTACCCACCTCATAGCGCTGCTGGGGGTGTAAATGAATTAAAATACAAAAAGGGCATCAAATAATGCCCTGGCCCATTGTAAGGGCTACCTAAATGCTTTTAAATATAAAATAAAGCAACACAACAAATTCCATCAGCTATATGTTGCCAGACTTGAAAAATACATATTATTTTCTGCCTTAAAAAAAATCAGAAGGGGGCTTCCCTGGTGGCGCAGTTGTTGAGAATCTGCCTGCCAATGCCGGGGACACGGGTTCGAGCTCTGGTCTGGGAAGATCCCACGTGCCGCGGAGCAACTAGGCCCGTGAGCCACAACTACTGAGCCTGCGCGTCTGGAGCCTGTGCTCCGCAACAAGAGAGGCCGCGACAGTGAGAGGCCCGCGCGCCGCGATGAAGAGTGACCTCCACTCGCCGCAACTAGAGAAAGCCCACACACAGAAACGAGACCCAACACAGCCAAAAATAAATAAATAAGTAAATATCAGAAGGAAAGAAGCAAAAGTGTTGACAGCAGCTGTGTCTGGGTGGTGGTGGGTTTATGGGGCTTATATTTTGTGTTCTAGATTCGTCTGTACTTTCCAAACCTTCCACAAACAATATGAATTGCTTTCATAGGACTATGTTTCAAACAGGAGCACAGGAAGTTTCAAAGCCTTGGAGAGATCTCACGGATGCACCTGCCTGGCTACCCCTTCTCCCACTAATCTCTCTGTGGCGCCTTTGAAAGGTGAGGGGTGAATGAGACTTCATGGGGTCTCCAGGCCTCTACCTGCCCCACCCACCTTTGCCAGCCTGAGGGGGAGGCTGCCTCTCACCTTCCCTGCCCTTGGCTGCAGCAAACAAATTCTAGATGTCAGAGAGGCTGGGCTCCTTCCTGCCTCCTCCTCCAGGGAGTCCTCCCTGACCTACCCATTGAGCTGACCGACCTAAAAGAACACATGGTCCGAACACTCATCAAGGACTTCCCTGGCGGTCCAGTGGTTAAGACGCCACGCTTCCACTGCAGGGGGCGTGAGTTTGATACCTGCTTGGGGAACTAAGATCCCCGCATGCCTTGTGGTGTGGCCAAAAAATAGAAAAACAAATACACAAACAGAAACCACTTGTCAAGCAGCCACCCGGCTGCTTCTTTCCTTTCACATCTTGGTTCAAAGAGCAACCTACCAGCGCCTGGTACCATACTGAACACTCACACCAACTGATGCATTTAAGATCACACTGATCTGGTGACATCAGGTTGTCAGGACCCCCAATTTGCAAATTTGGCACAGAGAGGTTAAACAACTTGCTCAAGGGCACAAAGCTAGGGAGCAGGGAGACCAGAATTTGAACACAGGCCGCCACCCCATCCAACCACCACCCACCCCGTGCCCATTTTATTTGCTCCAAACGTGTTCTCTGAAATTATTTTTCTTCACGTGTTTTTGGTGGTCTCTTATTTGTTTATCGCAGGGGCTTTTGTCTGTCTTGTTCATTGCTGTGTCCCCAGTGCCTCGGAAGAATCTGGCACATAGCAGGCACTCAGTAAATGTCTGCCAGATGAGAAGGTATCGAAATGAATTAGCACACACCAGTTCCACCCAAGCAAGGCAGAGATTAGGGCTGGCTACAGCAAGAAGGAGTTAAGTGAGACACAAAGAAGAACTTTCTCAGGGGCGGTAGCTTGCACAGGGTGGGGACATTGCTAGGTCTGTGTGTTCTGCAGGCAGAAGGCCCCAAGGCTGCCCTGAGAGGCATGTCTGGAATGGAGGTTGCCTCTCAAGAGATCTCGAGGCTGGGCAGGGCGGGGCCTCTGGCTGGGGGCCAGGGTCGCAGGGCTGGGTGTTTGGGATAGACAGAGCAGAAGGGTGGAGTCCAGAGCTGTCCAGGAACAACATGGGGAAGCAAGAAAACACAGCTGGGTCCCTGACCCCCAGCTTGTGCCCTCTGGTCCCTCCATGGGCTCTGGCCACCTGACATTCAAGGCTGGGATGGGGATATGGGCCCCACCTTTGAGCCCTGCTGTAGGTTCAGAATGGCCTGGGCTTAGATCCTGGCTGTGTGACACAGGGCAAGTGAAGCTTCTCCCCAGGCCTCAGTTTCCCCAGCTATAACAAAAAATGACCTGAAAATCATTAGTAGATGGAGTAACAAGCACTGGCTAAGCACTTACTGTATGCACTAATTCACAAGAGGAGTCTTAGAGGTGGGGGTCATTATTATGCCACTTCACAGATAAGGAAGCTGAGGCCCAGGGAGGTGAAGCTTCTCATTCAGGGTCACACAGCAAGAAGTGAAATTTGAACCCAGGTTGCCTGGCTGCACAGCCCACCGTCTTAACCTCCTCTGTAGGTGAAACACTTATCAGAGCCCTCAGCACCAGACTGGTATTCGATAAAGAACAGCTGTTATTATTATGAATCATTCTGGCAGCTCCTCCCAGGGGCCTCAGGACGGCGGTGGTGGGACAGCTGCCATTCTGCACATCCCACATCCCCTTTCCTGGGATGAGGACTCAGCAGTTCCTCCAGGGAGCAGCCCCTTCCTCCCTCCGGACTTGGGTGGGGCTCCTCTACCCCCAGGATCTGGGCCTGGGCAGTGAGATACACAGTGATTAGCTCAGTGATGGGCATATGACCCAAGCCAGCCAAGGAGGGCCACCCGTGGGATTTTTCTTGGTGCTATCTGGATTGAGGGGCTCCCTTTCCACTGAGCTGCAAGGACAGATGCCCGGAGTGGTGGGGCCACCTTTGTCTGCCTGAGAGAGAAGGCTCCACGGTTCACAGAGGAAGAGAAAGAGGGAGTTAGAGATTCCTGAGGATATTTGAGTATCTGGATCCAGCTACGCCTGAAGCCGTCCGTCACTAAGTTACATGGACAACACATTTCCTTTTCATAGTCTGAGATTGGTTTCTGCCAGTCAGGGATGATTTTTTGCCCAGCAACCAACAGCCTTGGGGACCCTCCCCCAAATACCTCCTGTTTTCCAGACATTTACAATGTGCTAGACATGAGCACACACGCTTAACAGACACCCAATTTCTTCTCATGGTACCTAGAGGTACTGAGTCAGCGGCATAAGTGTCCCCTTTTCACAGATGAAGAGACCGAGGCTCTGAGAGCTGGTAGAAGGACAGGGCTGGGGCTGGACCCCGGCATTCAGAGGAAGAAGGAGGGACCCTCCACCATCTGCCCCCGCCCACTAAGGCTCACCTGCTGCCCCATCGCAGCTGCGCTCTGTAATGCTGATCTTCTTTACCACGTGGACATTGCTGGTGGATGCAGGGGGTGTTGGGAACACTGTCTCTACCACCTCCTGGCTGCGGAACACAGGGGGGCTCTCGGCCCCGCCGGATGTCGCCAGGGCCCGCAGCCCTGCCCCGTAGGGCTCCAGACTCTGGGCCCGCTGTGCAGGGGCCCCCGCAGCTGTGCTGGCCGCCACCTCTACCTCCCTCGGCCCCTCCACCACCCGGACAGTGTCCACACGGACTGGGCTGTCTGGTGGCGGCCAGGCCTGGGGCTGGAGGTCGGCCTGCCGGGCCTGAGCTGCCTGCAGCTCCTGGAGCGCTTTCTTGAGCTGGGTCTCCAGCACGGCGACCTTAGCGGCAAGGGCTGCCTCCCCGTCGGGCATGCCCAAGTCCCGCTCTCGGACCCAGGTGCCCACGCTCCGGGTCTCGAGCACCGCCGGGTCCTCGGGGGGCTCGGGGAGGTCCAGGCAGAGCTCGCTGCGCCCCCGGGCTCCCGCCGGGTGGCCCAGGAATTTCTGGCTCTTGAGCTGCACTGTGAGCTGCCGCTTCTCCTCCTGCAGCACCGACAGCTTCACCTGGAGCACGGGAATCAGTTTCACCTGCTCCTCCAGCTGCCGCAGCTTCCGCAGGGCCCCCGCCATCTGCTCCCGCACGTGGGCCAGGTGCCCAGCACTGGGCGGCACCGGCGTGGACAGTCCTGATCCCCGCGGCGTCGGGGGTGGCAGCCCCACGCCCACCAGTGAGCTTGTCGAGCCAGCCACGCTGGGGGTCAGGGAGCCCAGGCCGGTGGGGGCGGCCGCCTGGTCCTCGAGGCGGCGACGGGCGTCCAGCAGCGTGCGCTCCACGCGCGGGTTGAAGCCGGCGCGGGTCTCCAGGGCGCCGTACTGCGGGTAGAAGCCTCGGCCGCAGTAGGAGTAGGCCGAGTGGCGGCTGTCCCCACTGGCGTTGGAGCACAGAGACTCGGTGGACGTCCACCAGGAGCCAGGGCCGCGGGGCAGGGAGCCGAGGCGGGGCCGGCGCTGCACGGCCACCCGCCGCAGCGTGTGGCCCTTCTCGATGTCGTCCACGTACTTGAGGAAGTCCAGGTCCAGGCGGTAGCCGTAGGGTGTCTCCACGGAGTAGGGCAGGTCGGGCTCCTTGGAGGGGAAGGTGGGCGGGGAGGCTGGGCCGGGGGTCCCTGGGGTGGGAGGAAAGGCCAGCGCCTCTGAACACTGCGGTCCCCTCCTCGGGGCAAACTGATGCCCCTGGGAGGGTCAAGGCTTATTTGCCCAAAGGATGGGAGCCCACTGGGTGCTCAACTGCTCAGCTGTGTCTGCGGTCTCCGAGCCTTCCCCGGCCAGGGCAAGGCCCTGTCACCCCCTCAGACCCTCCCAGGGCAGGGCTGTGCCTCCAACCTCCCAACCAAGACAGGACCCTGTCTCCCCACTCAGACCAACCTCCTTCCCTGGAAGACCCAGTCTCTCCCATCAGACTCTGCAGGGGAGAACCAAGTTGTCCCTCTTCAGGCCCTCAGGGCAGGGCTGCGTCCTACCCTCAGCCTCCTCAAGTAGGGCCCTCTCCCCTCCCCGAGGCCGTGTCTCCCGTCCCCCACCTCCAACCCCAGGGCAGGGCCCTCTTCCCCGTGAGACCCCTGACCTGGGAAGGGGGCTGGCACGTGCAGGACTTGGGCCATCCTCCTGCCTGCAGACGCTCCTCAAGAGTCACTTGGGGGATTGTGAATCAGACCACCTGCAGCACGGGCTGAGGCTTACCTGGGGAGAGGGTGTGATGAAGCCCCCCCGAGTGGGGAATCTGCAGGGGGAGGGGAGGGGATGTGGCCACCTCTCCTCTCTGCCCCCTCCACCCCCCCGCAAGTTCCCCCTTCCCCTGGGCGTGTGACCCTCTCATAGGTGCACACCCAGCCTGGCTGTGGAAAGGGGTGGGGAGCCCCCAGAGCCTGGAACAAAGAAACCAAAACTCACAGTCTGCCCGCACATCTGTCCGGCCCCTGGACAGGCTCCAGCTGTTCCCACAGCCCCGCCTCCACAAGGCTCCCGGGCCGAGGAGGAGCCCTAAGCCTGACAGGCCCCACCTTTCCTGAGCCCCCTCCCCTTAGCCCAGGCAAGAGCTGGCTGCTGGGACAGATGGGGGCTTAGGTGGACCGAGGGCTGGGGCACTCGTGGGGAGGCAGCCTTCCTGCAAGGATCCGAGGAGACAAGAGACACAGGGCACAAAGAGGAATAGAGCTCAGGGTACGGGACCCCAAAACAGAGCTGGGTCAGGCCAGGCGGTGCGGGTAGGGGGCGGTAGGGAAAGTTGGGGAGAGGCAGCAAGGAGCAAAGCCTTTTCCCTTTATGGAAACAATTTTCTCTAAAAATAAACAGTTTCGCTGCCGGGCTACACGAGAACTTCCTGCCCCCACCCCCCCACCACCCCGACCAAGGACGCGTCCGGCTCAGGGCTGGGGGGGGCGCGGGGGGCAGTGCGGCGGGGATAGAAGGCCGGGTGGAGGCCCGAGAAGTCATGGGGGTGGGGGGAGGAAGTAAGAGGCTTCAAAGAGGAGGGACAAGGAGGGCCTCTCACTAACCTGCCCTCCCCCAGCCCTGGAGGCTGGCCAGGGCACTTTTGTCCCCAACACTCCACCTGAGTTTGGCCAGTCCTTTCTGCTGTCTGACCCCTAGCCACCCTGCTGCAGAGGTCCCGGCCCATCCCACCACCAGAGAGGACCCTTTGCAAGCTGCAGGTGCTGGGGCAGTGGGTACCTGGGAAGATGGGCCAGGTGGGCCACCTGCTGGGCATGAAGGCGGGGCCGGGGCTCCAGGGGCAGCCAAGCTTCTCCTGTCTCACACCCTCCTTGCTTAGCGTCTTGCTTCGTCTCTCCACGTCTCTCTGTGTCTCTCCAAGTCTCTGTCTCTCTGTGTCTCTCTTCACTTCTCTCTCCCTGTCTCTCCACGTCTCTGTCCTCACTTCTCTGTCTTTCAATGCCTGGAACACACAGTCACCCAATTGTAGGAAATTTGGTTTTCCAGCTGCCTGGAGGGCCATTCCATGTACAACAGGGAGGTGATCAAAAATATTTTCTGCAGGGACTTCCCTGGCGGTCCAGTGGCTAGGACTCTTCCAATGCAGGGGGCATGGGTTCCATCTCTGGGGAACTAAGATCCCGCATGATGAGTCGCACAGCTGATAAAATAAAAGTGAATTTAAAAAAAGTTTCTGGGGACCTGAGAGAGACTGGAGGCAGGGACCAGGAACGGTCCCCGGTGTGGAAGCCTGGAGGTGGAGGGTGTGAGGCGAATAACAGTAATAACTATAATCATTACCCCGGCAACTCATTTGATCATTATCCCGGCAACTCATTTGATCATCATGACAACCCTACCAGGTGGGTAGTTATCACCCTGTTTTACAGATGCGGTGTTTGGGGACACAGAAATACACAGTGACTTGCCCAGGGTCACTGAAGGGGGAATTAGCTGGGTCTGGATTTGAATCCTAAGCCTGGTAGATTCCCCCACTGCCAGCCAAGCCACCCTTAAGCCCCTTGCCACATTCCTCTGCCCATTTCCCAGGCAGAGAGACTGAGGTCTGAGGGTCTCCAGCCACCTGACCGTCTTCCACGTGGGCCGGTGGTGACTGACTCCAGGTGGAGAAAGCAGATGGTGGGGGAAAGTGTAATGGTGGTGGGTGTCTGTGGCTGAGACTCCTCTCCCTCTATAGGACCCCTGGAGAAAGCGGAGGACACGAGATAGGACAGAGAGACATGGAGAGAAAGGGACAGGACACCCCAAGAGGGGACAGGTGGGAGGCTCAGGGAAGGGGCGGGGGGTCCCGGGCAGGCCTGAATGTCTGGCGGGGTCTCCCTAAAGCCCCCCTCCCAGACCAGCCTGGACGTCTCTGGGGTCTTCCCGCTCCTCTCCCCGCCTCAAAGACGGGGGCGAGGAGGACCCCGCCCCGTACCGGGTAGGGGCGGGGCCTGCGGGGTCCCCAGCTAATGGCAAACAGCTGCTGCTCCCCACGCCGGCCCAGCCGCCAGGCCGAGGCCCAGCCCGGCCGGACGCCCGGACGCCTTCCCGCCGCCTGGGCCTGGCTCCGGCCCGGCCGCGGAGGAGGGCGAAGGAGGACCGAGTGGGGGAGTGGGGAGGCGGGACAGAGGTAGAAAGGAGGATGGAGACATGGGAGAGGGGCAGAGGGGAGGCAGTGATGGGGCAAAGGGGCAGGGAGGTACGGATGGAGGATGGGGTTGGAGGAGAGAAGCAGGGACAGGGTCAAAGATGAGGACGGGGCAGAGGCGCGGGACCAAGACACTCAAAGTCCGGAAAGTTTGGGCAGAGATGATGGAGTTGGAGGCAGCAGCTGGTAGAGACCGCCGAGATCGCGCCCCGGGGTTAGGGGTGGGGTGGGTGGGGTGGGGACCACGCTCGAACCCCGAACCAGACTCGAACCCCGACCCAGCCCGGGTCCTACTCGCCTCGCGCGCTCCGGCCGCCGCTGTCCCAGCGTCCCGCCGCCCGTGCGTCCTCAGCGCGCCGCCGCCCGAGCGCCCGGCCCTCGGCGGTAGCTCCGCCCCGCCCCGCCCCCGGGCTGGCCCCGCCCCTCTAGTCGCCAGCGGCCCAGCCACTGTTGAGGGGGATGGGGGGGGGGACACGATCGCACCTGGACGGGCAGGTGTGTGTGCGCGCGTGGGGTATCCGGCCTCGCCCCCTCTTCCTGTCCTCGGGGCAGGGTCCCACCACCGCTATCCTCCCCCCGACAGCTGCCGCTGGGCCGCTGCGGGGGGCGGGAGAAGGCGGGGCTGGCCGGGATCCAGCTCCTGGAGGGAGGGCGGTGGTGGCGGCGGCGTCTGCGGGAGGTCACCACCACCCCCCCCCCCCCCCCCCCCCCCCCCCCCCCCCCCGGCTCAGGGATGGAAGCCGCCCAGCACAGGCCTGGTACACGGTGGCGTGACCACCACGGGGCGGGAAGGGAGGGCTGGGTCAGCGCGAGGCTGCACAGACCGTAGCTAAGGCCTAGGTTCCATGGCCAGCCAGACCTGGGCTCCAATCCTAACTCCACCAAGCCTTTACTTGCTGCCTCAGTTTCCCCATCTGTAAAATGGGGCTAAGAATGCTGCCTGCCTGATAGTGGTGTTAAGATGATTCTATAACCACGAGGCAGGGGCCTAATAGAGGTCCCTCAGGCAGAAAGGCCCATAAACGGGGCAGTGTCTTTGCGGGAGCCAATTATACAGGGCTGGGCACTTAACGAGAGTTTAATACATGTTACTATTATTCCCCCTGCACACATATGACATTGTCCTTTGTGTGTTGCCTTCCCCACTAGAATGTCAGCTCTACAAGGGCAGAAATTTGCATCCGTTGTCACTGCTGTGTCCCTGGCACCCAACTGGTTCTCAGTGTCTGTGCATCAACAATCAGGGTGTGCAGGTAGAGGGTGCACATGGGACCCAGCTCCCAGGGACCACACCACACAGGCTGTTTATAAAAACCATTTTAAATTAGAAAAGGTAAGAGGCATCAGTGCACACAGACGAGAACAGAGGGACAGAGGGCCCAGACCCATGTGCGATGTGGTCACCCCATGGCTGAGTGGGCAGTGGGGGAGACTGTCAGGAAGGCACAGACAGCTGAGTCCAGGGTGCTGGTTCCTCTGGGTGTGGCTTCAGGCCCTGTGGGCTCAGAGGTCAGCCTTCCGGAAACTTGCTCTGTTCAAGGAGTTCCTGGGGGAGGAGTGAAGTGGATCAACATGGCCACAGGGCCCCCAACTCCATAATGCTCCCCAGCCTCCTTCCCCTCCCCCTCTTCCTCCACCCTCCTCCTCCAAGGAGGTCTTCTATGGTCTTCCTGGCTCCTTTTTTTTACATTGGTTCTGATCTGACCATGGAATCAGAAATTCTCTCTTAGAATCCACCACTGGAGATGTGAATCACACCCATTTTACAGATGTGGAAACTGAGGCTCAGAAAAATGAAGTCACACACCTGGAAAATGATCAGAAACGGTTGCCCTGAGCTTGAATATGTGTACGTGTCTGAGTAGTCACATGACTGTGCAAAGCCCTGAGCACCCGTGTTGATGTGCACGTGTATGACGGCCCCCACGCTCTGCCTGGCTTTGCCTGCCCCCTCTCTCCCTCTCTAGGGTGGGAGGCCTGGGTCAGGCACCTGAAGCCGGCTGTGTTTGGCGCCAGCAGCTGAGGCAGGCGCTGGGTGAGCAGAGGCTGCAGAGCCTCCCGCAGGCGGGAGTAGTTGCGCTCCAGCTCCCGGTGGTACTCCTTCTGGTCCGGCCCAATCAGGGCTTTGTTCTTCCGCAGCGCATCCTCGCACCTGAGGGAGGACCAGATGGCGGGAGATGCTCAGGGGCTGACACTCAGAAGACAAAGCAAGACCAGAGGCGGGGAGTTCGCGAGCTGGGGTCAGGCATGCAGAGGAGCCTATGATGGGGCTCCGGCAGGTGGATATGACTTCATGGAAATCAGAGAGGCTACAGTGGGGTGTCAGGTTGATAGACAGGCTGTGCCGGGGAGTCAGGTGGGCAGAGAGCCACGATGCGGGGGTCAGAGGGACTGCGCCTGGGGCGCTCAGGCCTACTTCTTGCAGAAGTCCTTGAAACAGAGCCGCAGCTTGTTGTGATGTCTGAAGAGCTTAGGGTCTTGCGGGATCTCGGCCAAAAACACCTGGGCCACCTCCAGTGGACCCTGTGGGGCGACAGGGGCTTGTGACGATGTCTGCACGGCCCCCGGGGGCCTCAGGCAGCCTGCATACCCCACCGACCGTGCCTGGTTTACAGTGGGCCCCACGGAGCCCTGCAGCACCATCTGTAGCATTTTGGCATCAGGCGGGTCCTGCTCGGTGGCGAAGGCCAGCTCCCGAGTCTTCTTCTGCATGTCCTCAATGGCCACCTCTACTGGCGTCAGCACTGTCTGGGGGGTGGAGGCGAGCAGGCGCACGTCGGGGCCTGAGGATGTGCTGACCCAACCCAGCACACGGCAGCTTGGACCCCAGCTGGGGGTGGACAGGGGTACAAGAGGCTGCAAGGAACCAGCTCTGGGGCTCCTGCCTGCTTGGGTCTGGCAGGGTGGGGGGTCGAGGTTCAGCTGCCTTTGTCTGGTTCTGATAACTCTGGTCTGGTTCTCGTCCAGCCTTGGGTCAGCAAGGTCTGGAAGGAGGGGTTTGAGTCTGCAGATTGGGGTCTGGGGGCCCCTGGCCTCCCTTGGTTTTGGGGGTCTCTGCACCTCCCCTCCCTGGGCCTCCCCCAGGCCTGGGCCCCGCCCACCTCCTCCCGGTGGCACACGCGGATTCGTGTCTTGATGTAGGGGAAGGCGTGGTCTGTGCTGAGCAGCGTCTTGCGCTTGTGCTGCTCGGGCAGCTCTCCGTGTGCGCGCCCGTCCGGCGTGAAGGGCGTGCAGAACAGGAAGGTTCGCAGCCCGTAGTTGCGGTCGAAGTAGGTCACCCGGTCCTTGAGCTCATAGGTGTCGAAGTGCGGCTCCACGTACGTGATCTGGATGTAGGCCTGGGGCACGGGGCTCAGGGGTGAGGCTCTCAGCCCCAAAACACACACCTGGGGCTTGCTGGCCTCCCGCAGGGGCCCCATCCCTGGAGAAAGGGGATTTGGGCCTCCTTGGGTCTGGGGGCTTTGGATCTGGGGTTCCCAGGTCTCCCTATATCTCCTTTGGATGTTTGGGAATTCCACGAGGAATAGGACGTGGGGTCCCCGAGGGAGATAAGCTTTGGAGTTTCCCAGAGATATAGGATTTGAGGGGCCACAGGATTACAGTACTTGGAGTCTCCCTGAATATAGGATTTTGGGGTCCCTGGGGGGATAGTAAGGAGTCCTCACCTTCTGGGGGTCCAGCTTGGTCTTGTCCACAGGGTTAGAATCTTTGATGATCTGGACCACGTCCTCCCCAAATCTCTCCGTGTAGAACTCCTGAGAACACGGGGCTGACTCACAGCTGCACAGCTGCAGCCCCAGTGCCCTGTCCCAGGGCACCCTGCCCCAGGGCAGCCCAGTGCCCTGTCCGCCCCCCCACCGCCAGGACGTGCCTCCAGCCGGTGTGAGATCTCGGCCAGCTTCGTGATGGATGGCTCCTTGTACACGAACTCCTGTTCATCTAGGTCACCGAAGCGGGCACCGTAGAAGCCCACGCGGAAATATGTCCCGAACACACGCTGGGGCTGTGGGAAAGCTGTTGTTGCCCAGGAGGCCCTGCTGGAGGTCCCCCTACGCCAGAGACACATGGGTCCTCAGGCCCCACGTGCAGAAGAGGTGGGCATGGGCGGAGGACCCCGGACACCCTAAGAACATCACATCACAGGCACAGGCAGGGGCATGGACCCACATGACTGCCAATTGCCCACACCCTCACTCTTTTTCCCCAGCCTGTCTCCTACCTCCCACAAATCTTTATTCTCATTTAACACAAACCCCTAGTTTCTGATTCTCCCTCATGACCCATGCAGTTCTTCAGAGTCTGGGTCTCAATATGAAATGAGAACTGGGGCTCTATTGCTCATAACTAGGTCCTCAATGCCTATAGGTCTGGGTATACAGTAGGTGCTCATATGCGTGAGTGACTGAGGGAAGGCGTGGCCGTTTCTTGCTCTGGGACAGAGGCTCTGGTTCCCTTGTTCCAGTGCATCCCCTCCCCTCCCAGATCTAAGTTTGCCAAGAAGGACCCCCTCCCTCCAGGTAGGCTACTTTTTACCGGGAAGGATGGGGGTGGCTCCATGTTCACTCACCAAGGCAGATCCAGGCAGGGTGAGATGGGCACCAGGAGATGGAGGTGGGGAGCAGGGGGCAGAGAGACAAAGTCATGGGTGAGGTCAGAGGTCACAGCCCCCAACCCCCAGAGTCCTGGTTATGCTACCCCATGAGAACTATTCCATGGGCAGAGACAGGAGATCCGGGGAGGGAGAGGACTTGCCCGCCCCGCCCAGCTCCCACCCAGTCCTCCCCCCTTGGTTCTGGGTTCCTGCCATCTTTGGCCAGAAAATTCTCCCCAAACTAGGAGATGCCTAAAAATAGACCCAACTAGGGGAGAGGCGGGAGAGGGGGGACATTAAATGGCAATGAGCAGAGATCCTGGGGGAAGCTGGGGAGACAGGGAGAGACAGAAACTGAGAGAGACACACAGAGAGAGTGATCAAGGAGAGAGGCAGAGACAGGGAGAGATGGACGGAAAGAGACCAAGAGACACAAAGAGAGAGAAAAAGAAACAGAGACAGAGGAAGTTGGAGGCCCCCCCTTCCAGGCAGTGACCAAGCTGGCCCTGCCTGAGGGAGGGGTGTCTCTGGAGAGCTCCCAGCTGGGTGAGTCACAGGCTGCCCTGGAGATCTGGGGCAGGGAGGGGGGCTCCGGGGGGAAGTAGTGGGGTGCGTCATCGCCCGCTGAGCCCCCGCGGCCAGGCAGCTGTGCTCCTCCAGCGCCCCCTGGTGGTCCCTGACCACTGTTGACCAGAGGCAGGTGTCCACTCACCTCCCAGCCGGAACTCTGTGGGTGGGGACAGAAGGGTCAAGGTCAGCTGAGCTCAGCAGGGGCCAGGGGCTGGGGCTGAGGGCAGGGTCTGAGAGGGCATCCTGGGCCCACCTGGTGCATGATCTTGGTGAAGGCCTCCTGCAGTTTGCCGTGCACAGCAGCCAGCTTCTTGTAGTCGCGGTGGGCTTCCAGGATGGGGATGAGGGTCTTGTAGACCTCATTCACTGCCTCGTAGAGCCCACCCTGGGGGTGGAACATCAGGATTTCCAGCACCAGCCCTGATCTTCTCTCCTGCCTGGAACAACCCTCCTTCCATGCTCCTACCCACCCTCCAGGGCGCCATCTTCCATCACTTCCTCCAGGAAGCCCACCCTGACCACACCTGCCCCAGATGGGGTACCAGCCTTTCCACTCAGCCCCTACAAACATCCTCTGTGGTCTCCACCATGCTTACTATGGACCCGGTGCTGTGTACATGTACACTCTACCCATGTTCCTTCATTGGTGGGAGGAGTCATCATCTTTTTCCATTCCTCAGAGGGGAAACTGAACTTCAGAGACGTGGAGGGGCTCCCCAGGGCCAGGACCTGAAGGTCGGCCCTTCTGGCATGGTGTCTAAAACCTCCACACCCAACTGCCTCCCGGCACGTGGTAATGGCCGCTCCTGAGTACCGCTGGCCCCCAGTCAGGGCCAGCATCGAGCCTGGCACACGGCAGGTATCCTGAGCTATTTGCTGACTGTTAGAGGTCTGTGTCTACCGTCTGGCTTACTCCCAAGGCCTGTGTCTCTGAGACTCCAGCAAAGTGATCATAATAATAAAAACAACAATAATAAAAAAAAAAAACCTCTAGAAAAAAAGGAAAAAAAAAAAAGAAGGCTTGATGCAAAGAACTGAAACAGGATGGTAAATATAGGTGGTCACTGAATTTGAGTGCTGGATATGGGGGGTGGTGGGGATACAACTTTCTTTTATGTGTTCTTGAAATTTTTCATAACAAAAAAGAATTTTAGGGAATTCCCTAGTGGTCCAGTGGTTAGGACTCCACATTCTCACTGCAGGGGGGCCTGGGTTCAGTCCCCTTAGTCGGGGAACTAAGATCCTGCAAGCCACAGGGTGTGGCACAAAAAAAAAAAAAAAAAAAAAAAAAAAAGAATTTTAAATGGTAACTGAATGTATTCAAGGCTTATTATATCCAGACCACGTGTCAAGGGTTTTATGGGGAAAAAGGCAGGTAACGGGGCCTCTGAGGGATCCCAATCCTTCTCCACAAATTCCCTGCCCAGAAAGGGTCCGGGCAGCAGCTTCACCTTGAGTCTCTGGGAGCGGGTATCGGGCCCATGAGCAGATGCATGATGCCGCCCCAGCCCCAGGCCTCACCATGGTGAAGTAGGCGGCCGCCTGTTCCAGCAGCCCCACCAGCCCCAGCTCCGTGAAGTGCTTCCCGGAACAGAAGCCCTCCTCATCGGGCGACAGGATGTCGTCAGAGATGGCGGACTCCTCCAGCACGTTGGACGAGATGTTCTGGGGTGGGAGGTGGCATCAGAGCCTGGTCCTCGGCCCACATGTGCCACCCCCTGCCCGCCACTACCCCACCCCCCATCCCCCCATCCCTGCCGCTCACCTGGAAGGAAACACAGCCCACAGGCAGGTGGCGGCTGTCCTCCAGCAGAGCGAGGTACTCGGCCACCAGGGCGGCCGCGTGAACCATGCACTGCGCAGCCTCCGCGTGGTTGCCCAGCTCCGCGTGCTTCCCCGCCATGTTCTGCAGCCATGTCAGCCGCAGGTCTGGGGAGCCCTGGTAGCCCCGGGCAATCCTAGAACCCAGGTGAGGGGGGATGTGAGGAGGATGGAGACTCACCTTGCCCCCCTGCTCACCCCTCACTTGTCCATCCCCTTCACCTGTGACCCCACCCATCTGCCCCAGCCAATCTCCTCACCTTTACCCCATTCACCTGTCTCCTAACTTATCCCACTCCTTACCTGTCCATCTCTTCATTACCCCCACAAGTGTCACTCTGGGTCTGCCCAGGCCCATCCCTTCTGTATGCCCCCTGCCTTCCCTGTCTCCATCACCCGGGCCCCCATCTCCCACTCCCCAGTTTCTTACTAAATACCCTTCACTCTCCTCCAAATCACTTGTTCCCCTAATCTGTCACCCCTTCATGGGTTAGCACCTCACCTGTCTCTCCCACCTGTCCCCCTCACTTATTCTTGTGCTCCTCTGTCATCCTCATCTGTATGTTCATCCGGCACCATTTTTACTTGCTCATTTACCTGCCCTCACCTGTCTGCTCACCTGGCCCCTCACCTGTCTGCCCTCTCACTTGGTCATCTTCACGTGTCTCCTCTCCTGGTCCCTCTTCACTTGTCCATCCTTACTTGTCTCTCTTATTACCTGTACGCTCACCTGCTCCCTCCCCACCTGTCCCTCTCACCACCTCCTCTCCCCTCGCCTGTCTGTGAATGGCTGAAGGTTCCAACCGGCCCTCCTCACCTGTACATGAGGTCAATGAGCATTTCCGGGTCCTCCTGATGCTCCTTCATCTTCACCGTGTCAGTCAGGATCATGTGCAAGTTGAACATCAGGTCCTGGACCTGGAGCGGGGGAATGGCCAAGAGTGACGGAGCCGAGGTGGTGGGGTCAGGGGTCAAGCATGGCAGGGCAAAGACCCTGGCTGCGGAAGGTGGGGCGGGGGTCCGGCGGGGTCACCTGCTCAGCAAAGGTGCTGTCCCGCAGCCCCACATCCTCCTCGGCATAGGTGAGGATGGTCTTGAGTGAACGTCGCAGGTGCTCTTCGCTGAAGTTCTGCGTTGTCCCCACCAGGGACGAAAGCGACATGGTCACTTGCATCTTCACGCGGGCAAAGTTCTGGGTGGGCCGGGGAGGAAGAGCATGCCTGACTGTGGACCTCGGACCCTCACACCAGAGCCTGCTCGACCCACTGACTTCACCCCTCTCCCCTCCTGCCGTGCGTCTACCGCGTCAAGACCCCTAGTCGGCCGCCCTCCCCAGAGCCGTAAATCACCCCCACCGCCACACCCCCACTTACGTTGCCAATCTCGAAATTCTGGCGCATGAGGAGGTAGAGGGAGGCGCTGGCGTGCGTACGGATGGCGCTGATGCGGCTGCCGCAGTGTCGCAGGAGCCTCAAGCAGAGGTCGGCACACAGCTCTGTGTCCTCCTCAAACAGCAGCTCTGGGAACTGGCCCCCAGGGCGGGACAGACACCAGTCAGCCCCTCCCCGTTCTGGCTCAGAAGGTCCCCGATGGGGACGTGGGCAGAAGCGTCGGTCTGTGTTCTGCCTTCTCTGGCCAAGCCCAGCAGGTTTTGGTGTCAGAGCTGGGTTTAAGCCCTTACTGTGTGACTCCGGGTGAGCAACTCTGCCACTCTGATCCTCGGTTCCCTCCTCTGCAAACTGTAGCTAAGGGGTGTCTGCCTGCCTCATGGGGCTGCTGAGCACGCAGCAGTTGCTCAATGAATGGGTTGTGACTGTTACTCTTTTTTTTTTCTTTTTTTTTTTTTTTGCGGTACGAGGGCCTCTCACTGTTGTGGCCTCTCCCGCTGCGGAGCACAGGCTCCGGACGCGCAGGCTCAGCTCAGCGGCCATGGCTCACGGGCCCAGCCGCTCCGCGGCATGTGGGATCTTCCCGGACCGGGGCACGAACCCGTGTCCCCTGCATCGGCAGGCGGACTCTCAACCACTGCGCCACCAGGGAAGCCCAACTGTTACTCTTAAGAAGCGTGGCTGTCAGAGGTACTCACCTTGGATACCAGGGCCCGCTGTGTGGCCAGGCCGTGCTGCAAGAAGAGGGCACTCTGGGCACTGCCCAGACTGTACAACACAACCTTCAGTACCGCGCCCAAGATACTCTCCCGGGCCTCTGACAGCATCACCGTCTGGGGGGCCAGAAATCCAGCTGTTAGAGACTGGGGTGGTTATGGAGTCAGGGAAGGAGAGGGATTCTGGAGTCAGAGATCACAAGGCCCTGTGGTGGGGACAGAGGTGAGGGAGGTGCTGGATCAAGCCCTACCTGCACGATGATCTCCAGTGTATCCAGAACCACCAGGCTTGCCTCGGTTGCCAGGTTCCCGTCCACCAAGGCCTCGTGTTCCATTTCATCCTTGGTCCTGGAGGGGACAGGAGGGATTGAGGGGGCCTCTCAGGGCCAGACTTCACCCCACGGCTGAGGTCTTTCCCCTCCCTCGGCTGCCCTGGGCGGGGGGGGGGCACCAGTTCTCTGGACATTGGTCTAACCCCAGCAAACTACTTCCTGCCCACACCCACTTGTCCACACGGTCCGAGGTTTGTCTCCAGTGTGTGACGCTCTTCCGCCAGCGTACATTCTCCTGGTTCCCAAATGGGCTCCTCTCTGAGACACACAGGTCCATGTTCACAGATGTGCAAAAACAGAAAGACACATGTGACCATGAGAATGGATCCCACACACATGGGATCCCTGTGAGGACACTGGGTGACGTGGATGCTTGCGGAGTGGATGCAGTTAGACGTGAACAAGGAACATAGACACCCACGTGTACGGGGATAACGCGTCGACTTCTTTCTGGGAAAAGTAAGCCAAACAGAGGCAGAGATGGTCCCCGCCTTGGGGCCCCTGGTACAAAGGCTGGGAGGCACCGGGTAAGGGACGTGCATGGGGTACATCTCCCTCTCACCACGGCTCCGTCGCACCATCTCCTGTCGGGCTCCGATGGTGCCCAAGATAGCTTCCTCCAGCCGGGCCTTCATGTCCAGTGATTTCTTGAACGTGAGACTGTTGATACGTTCAAAGGCCTTTTTCCCCTGCAAGAACAGAGAATAAGTTCGAGGTTGACTCTGCTCTTTTCTGTGGGCTAACCTGGTCCTGCTTCTTGTGCCTCCTATACCCCAGTCCCCTGCCCACCCCTCGAACCTTGTATTCAAAGGCAGCCAGACAGAGGTACAGCAAGTCCAAGAGACGACCCAGCTGAGGGAGGGCCAGGTCCGCAGCCCAGCGCTGCAGCAGGGCTGGCTCAGCATTCTTCAAGACCCACAGCACACACACCAGCAAGGTCCGGCTAGACTCGGCAGAGAGGGCACAGCCTGAGCGAGCAGCCTGGGGACAGAGAGGGGACAGGGCACTCAGAAGGGAGAGAGGTGACTTTCATTTTTCTCCATATTAAGATGAGAACTGGCCAATTGATACTTCATTGCATAAATTTCATTACCAGGTTATTGGACACACAATGTCCAAAATACAATAAAAAAATCACAAGACATGTGAAGAGGCAGGAAGATGTGATTGATAAGGGAGAAAAGACATGAGACGCAGGCACAAAAACAATCAAATGTTGGATGGGGTCTCTGGGGACAAGGCTGGTACTCACTGTCGCTGGGCCCTGGGAGACGCTGGCCCGGGAGCCAGGGGCCAGGGGGCCACCAGCGATGGCCATGGCCACTGAGGGGTTGATGGTGCCTCCCATGTCCCCTTCCCCTTCTGTGTCTGAGTCGAGCATAGAGGCCAGTCTTGACCGCTGACCTGGACCCTCTGGGACGAGAAAAGAATGAGACCGTGGTTAAGTGCTGTCTCTGTCTCAGATTTCAGCTCACAGGTCACCTCCTCAGGGAAGCCTTCCCTGATTCCACCCCCCAGACCAGGGTGGAGTCTCTAGTTATTGACTCCCAGAGCTCACTTATTGTACTTGTAATTAGATACATGCATCATGCAACTGTTTCTAAGATCCACAAAGGCCTGGACTATATCTGCTCTGGCCACTCTAAACTCAACACTTAGAACCGTGGCCTGGTGCACAGGAGCAGTCGTTGCAGAGATGACGACGATGATGATGATGGCAATGGTGACAACCACAAAAATAAATGCTGCTGCTATTGTTATAGCACCAGCTGGCGCTTACATAGCATTTCCTGTGTCAGGTGCTGTTCTAAGCACTTTAACAATATTAACTCTTACTCTTCAAGACAGCCCAATGAGATAAGCCCTTTTATCACCCTTACTCTGTGGAAGAAGAAACTGAGGCACAGAGAGGTTAAGTTACTTTCCTGGGGTCACACAGTAGGTAGATGGTAGAGCTAGGATTTTAATCTAAACAGTCTGGTTCCAAAATCTCTGATCTTGGACTTCCCCGGTGGCACAGTGGTTAAGAATCCACCTGCCAATGCAGGGGACACAGGTTCAGTCCCTGGTCCAGGAAGATTCCCACATGCCACGGAGCCACTAAGCCCGTACGCCACAACTACTGAGCCTGTGCTCTAGAGCCCACGTGCCATAACTACTGAAGCCTACACGCCTAAAGCCTGTGCTCCGCAACAAGAGAAGCCACTGCAATAAGAAGCCCGTGCACCGCAACGAAGAGTGGCCCCCGCTCACTGCAACTTCAGAAAGCCCGTGCACAGCAACGAAGACACAACACAGCCAAAAAAAAAAAGAAAAAAAAAATCTCTGATTTTAAAAGAGTACTCTCTCCACTCCCCCCTCCCAAAAAAACACAGTCTCATCAGAGAGAGAGAGTTGCTGCCAACAAATACAGAACAGGTTTCACTCCAGAGAGTCTTGAAATAAAAGGTCAAAGTCAACTGAGTTTTACTAAAGCTCCAGCCCAGTTTAACCTAGCTGAATTCCTGACTGGATTGAGGTGATCAGCCCCTTATCCTAGCTGCCTAAGAGAGAGAAAGGGGAGTGCTCACTGGGAAGAGAAGACATTGCTTCAGTCCTGATGTTCCTTTTACATGCAATGTCCAAAATACAATACAAAATCAGAAGATGTGAAGAGGCAGGAAAAGGTGACTGATAAGGGAGAAAAGACAATAGAAGCAGGCACAGAAATGATCAAATGTTGAAGTGAGCAAAACTTTAAAATAAAAAATAAAAAAGATGCACAAACATGGGTTAAAAAAATGGAGAATTTCAGCAGAGAACTAGAATCTACAACAACCAACAAAATCAAAATTTACAACTGGAAAATATAAAATTTGAAATTCAGAACTCAATGGAGGGGATTAATACAAGACCAGACACAGCAGAAGACAGAAGTAGTGAGCTCAAACACATGTGAATAGAAAGTTTCCCAACTCAAGCACAGGGAGCAAACAGAATGAAAACCAGAACAGAGCACAGCAGACACTTGTAACATGATCATAAAGGTCTAACATACGTGTAGTTGGAGTCTCAGGAGGAGAGAAGAGAGAAAACGAGGCAGAAAAAAAAATTCAAGAGATAACAACTGAGAGTTTCCCCCGAATGATGAAGGGGATCAACCCACCAATCCCAGGTCTGTGTTTCCAACCATTGAACACACTTGTCCATCAGTGGTGTCAATCAAAGTGCATATAAATGAACGAACACAGGGCTCCAACTGATGTTCCCCACCTTTCCCTCCTCACACCTCTTTCTAGAAGATGACTCATCTCCCATTTATTGCACGCTGACAATATCCCAGTACTACACGTCCTCAGATTTTCACATAATCCTAGGAAGTAGTTGGTGCTACCACTGTCTCCATTTTACAGGTGATAAATCTGAGGCTCAGAGAGGTTAATGGCTTTCTTGGGGCCCCACAGCAGGACTTGAACCCACTCCTCTGATCCTAACACCCATGTTTTTACTCCTAACATGCTCGCCCACCTTTCCCGATCTGAGCCTTGTGGGATCAATCAGGCCCCCAGATTGTGGGACCCCACCCCTCCTTGCCCTGCTGACCAGCAAAGTCATGCAGCCGTGGCAGTGTGTCCCGCGCCAGTGACAGCAGTGGCAGGTATAGCTCGGCCACCCGGGCCTTCACAGTGGCCTCGGCGTAGCGGGGGTCAGCATCATGACCACAGAGCAGGCTGTGGACAGCACTGATGGCCTTCTTGTGCAGCAGGGACGCCCTGTGGGGTAGTGAGGTGCTCAGGACAGAGTGGGTGTGGCTCCTGGACCTTCCTCCCGCCCCACGGCCAGGCAGGGCCTGTGCTCACCCCTCGGCCTCAGGTTCCAGGGCCAGGGCCAGTTCCGTCAGCAGGAGCCCAGCCAGGAAGTGCTGCTGCCGGAACGACCCACTCAGCTCGAACATGCTGATCACCTTGGGGTCTGGGGCCTGGCTGGAAAAGGTGGAGCTCTGGAGAGGGGGACAAAGCAAGGGACCAGGGGCCAAGGGTCAGAGGTGAGAGGTTAGGGTTAACTCATCTGTGAGATGACAGGGCACAGGGTCCAAAGTCAGAGATTTGAGAAATGGCAGATGGAACGCCAGTCTGGGAGTTAGGATTTAGGGGTGAGAAATCAGAAGCTGGTCCTCCCAGGAAACTGCTGAGAATGCAGGGTCAGAGGTGAAGGGTCAGAGGTAAGGGGTCAGTCCCCTGGGCAGTGGCCTATTGCAAAATGGACAGAGATGAGGGAACCACACAAGAAGGGCTGAAAGGTAAGAGGTCATAGGTAAAGAAGAGGAAGCAGATGTGAGGCCAGCCCACCTGCGAGGTGGTGGAAGATACGGAGGGTGAGGGTGAGGCCGGGGGCGACAGGGGGCAGCAAGGGAGGTTGAGGGTCACGTAGTGCTCATGGCCGCATAGGATGCGGGTGAAGTCCATGCGCAGGGTCAGCAGCACCGCCGGGTTGGGAGCCGACTGCAGCCGTGTGGCCACCTGCGGGGGAGGGTTCAGCGGGTGACACTATGCTGATCTGCCCACCAATCCACACCACCCCCTGCCATGTCCCCGCAGGTGTGCTGTCCCCTCCAAGTCCCCCACAGGTATGCCGTCCCCACCACATCCCCGCAGGTGTGTTGTTCCCACCACGTCTCTGCAGGTGTGCCATTCCCACCACGCCCACCCCTACCTGCTTGTAGTGAGCCCGGACCAGGCTGAAGACAAAGCCGCGGTCCACCAGGGACAGCAGATCACTGAGGAAGAAGGCCAGGCTGGCGTTGAGGTGCTCGGCCAGCTCCACGTCCTGGGGGAACAGGGCCTGTCAGCCCATGCCCACCCACCCCATCAAGCCTCCATCCCTGCCCTTGGCCTGGCTCTTGCCAAGGCCACCAGTGACCCCTAAGAGCCGTGTCACTGCCCGAAACCCTTGGGTCTCCTCGACACGCCCTTGTCTCTAGGCTCCGGACTCCCAGGCTTCCTGGTTGTCCTCCTCCCTCTGACTAGCCCTTCCCTTCCCCACAGTTAGTGTCTACCCTCCACCCGGCTCTGTTGAGGACACTCTTTTTTATTCTCTCACCACATTTGAGTAACACAACACAGATGGCAGAGACTGGCTGCTGACCCCCTACCATATCCTCTCACAGGTATTGGGACACTTTTTCAGAGTTCAGAGCTGGGGAGGGACTACATTTCCCAGCCTCCCATGCAGCTGAGAACAATCATGTGACCACATTTTGGCCAATGGGATTTGAGAGGAATGATGTAGCCACTTAAACAGAAGGGGCAGGTCCTCCGGTTTCCAGAGCCTGTAATGCCTGATGTGGCAGGTACCATGATGAACTGAGATGGCCAGGCCCACACCGTGGAGCACCCCCGTAGCCCACCTATGCTCAGAAATAAACTTTGGTCACATTTAAACCATTTGTGATGATGTTCAAGCAAATTAACCTTTGCCCTAACTGATAAACCCTAAGAAATCATTTAACAAGCATCTACTATGTACCAAGTCTTGTGAAAAAAATAGACATGGTCCCTGCTGATTGTCCAGCTCTCAGTCTCATGGGGTGGGGGGAGATGGGGGATAAGAGTATTCCAGATAGCTCTATGTGTTTCAAAGACAACTAACAGGGTGCTATTTCAAGAGAAGCCTGAAGGGTGAGCAAGAGCCCAGGGGAGAAAGGCGTTCTGAAGAGAGGGAACAGTAAGTGCAAAGGCCCTGGAGCAGGAAGCGCCTGGCAAGTGTGAGGAACGACAAGGAAGGAGGCTCCCATGGCCTCAAGGCCCAGCTGCCCTCCTGCTTTCGGGAGCTACTCTTGGCCTCACAAGTTAGCCTCGGTGGCCCGCAGTTCCCTGTAACCCAAAGAAACAAAATACAAAATCCACCTGAGCTCTGAGTCCTCAAGTGGGGCAGAGGCTTGTGCGTGGAGCCTGATACAGTTGGTGCTCCATAAATGTCAAGTGAAGGAATGAAACCGCTGTGGCCCGTCACTGATACCCCCCCAGCACTGTGACGAAGGTGCTTCTCAAGGGCATTGTTCTTCCCTGCAGCCCTTTTTTTTTTTTTTTTAAAGAAGATGTTGGGGTTAGGAGTTTATTAATTAATTAATTTATTTTTGCTGTGTTGGGTCTTCGTTTCTGTGCGAGGGCTTTCTCTAGTTGTGGCAAGCGGGGGCCACTCTTCATCACGGTGCGCGGGCCTCTCACTGTCGCGGCCTCTCTTGTTGCGGAGCACAGGCTCCAGACGCGCAGGCTCAGTAGTTGTGGCTCACGGGCCTAGTTGCTCCGCGGCATGTGGGATCCTCCCAGACCAGGGCTCGAACCCGTGTCCCCCGCAGGCAGATTCTCAACCATTACGGCACCAGGGAAGCCCCTTCCTGCAGCCCTTTTGAGGAGGGTTTCCTCATAATCTGGATCAGCCTCCGGGAACTCAGCCCTTGGGGAGGCTCTAGTGAAACAAGGTTAAAACCTTTGAGACCAGCCCAGAGGTCGTGGGGGATTGCACAAGGGCCAGCTTGGGCCAACCAGCATTTCAAAAATCTGGAAAATTCCCATCAAATCCGAAGTCCCCTCTCTCTTTAAAAATCAGACATTCTGGCACATGCCCTCTGGTCCACCATAAGCCCCACTCCCCCAACTGAAGCTGGTGGTGAGGGTTCAAATCCCCATTCTGCCCATTCCCACTTATATGGTATCAAGTTGTTACTCAGTCATTCTTTGCCTCCGTTTCTCCAACAGTATAATGGAGGAAACAATACTCCTAACTTCATGGAGTTGTTGCGAGAGTTTAATGTGATCCATCTGAAGTATTTAGGTAGGGGCTTCCCTGGTGGTACAGTGTTAAGAATCCACCTGCCAATGCAGGGGACATGGGTTTGAGGCCTGGTCCGGGAAGATCCTACATGCCGCGGAGCAACTAAGCCCGTGCACCACAACTACTGAGCCTGCATGCCCCAACTACTGAAGCCTGCGTTCCTAGAGCCCGTGCTCCGCAACAAGAGAAGACACTGCAATGAGAAGCCCGTGCACCGCAATAAAGAGTAGCCCCCGCTCGCCACAGCTAGAGAAAGCCCGCGCACAGCAATGGAGACCCAGTGCAGCCAAAAATAAACAAATAAAAACAAATAAATTTTAAAAATAAAAATAAAGTATTTAAGTACACAGTAAGTGCTCAATAAATGCATAATTTTATTACTATTATCACTGTCTGCCCAGCTTCTGTGAGCACTGGAATTAATGGTCCAGGGCCTGGATAACCATCAAGGTCTCGGAACATCAACATCCATTTACTGAGTACTTACTGTATACTGATACTGTGCTAAGGGCTAATGCATCTGCCCTGTCACCTCTCTGCCTTCACCAACTCCCACTCTCCACTTTGTTCACTTCACCCCAGCCACTCACCTCCTCACTGCTCCTCTGACAGTGGCACGGTCCTGCCTCAGGGCCTTTGCACTTGCTGTTCCCCCCCTGACTGGAATGCTCTTCCCCCAGATATCACATAGATTGTTCCCTCACGTCCTTCAAGTCTTCCCCTAAAAGTCAGCTCCGTGAGGGTAAGGAACTGGGTCTGTTTTGTTCACTGCTGTGTCTCTAGTTCCCAGCACAGGGCTGTGCTTAAGAAATAGATGTTGCGTGAACAGACTGATTCAGCAAATGGGATTCGTGGTCTTGTAGCCAGGAGGCACTGGACAGGACTGATGCCTCATGTGGCTGGCTCTATGTCCTCCCTAAGCACCCCTGCCCCACTCTCCCTCCATGGAGGCCCCTCCCCCTTACCTTGTGGACACGGGTGATGACCTCCAGGCCCACAGAGCCCACCAGGGCAGCAATGTCATCCAGGAAGCGCCCAGGGAAGCGAAGCTTGCGGGGTGTGTCCAGCTTCTGGCCCAGAAGCAGGTGCAGCGCCATGCTTTTCACCTGGGGGTGGGGCAAGAGGGTGGGGGCTGGGTCTTGAGGGGCTGTGGGTGGAAGCCGCCTGCCAGAAGGGAGCAGATTGGTGGGCTGTGAGTGGTGGCTTGAAGTGGGCTAAAGGTGGGCATGAGGGATCCTGGATGTGGCTTGAGCCCTGTAGTTATGGGGTGAGAGTGGGGCCTGATAGCTGTGGGGAGGGCCCAAGAACTGTGGGTGGGACTTTGCAGGTTGTGGGTGGGGCTTGAGAAGGACATGGGTGCTAGGCAGAGGGGTGGGAGGCTGAGAGAGTATGGGTGGGGCTAGAGCAGGTCTCCAAGGGTCAACGTCTGACTGTAGGTAGGAGGGTGGGGCTTGAAGGCCCAACAGATTGAGGGGGGATGGCTGTAGTCAGGAGGAATAGTTCAAGGCACCTCTTGAAGAGTTTGGGGGATGTCTCAAGTCTCATCCCAACAGTTTCCTTCTCTCTCTTGCAGGGGAGGCCTCCTTGCTAGTTGGGGGTCTCTCAATGGTCTTATAGGGAAGGTGGGTAGTGGGGATCCTTCTCACTGTGGAAGGCGTTTCAGGTAACTTTCAGGGCGCCTCTCCAGGGAGAGATTCCCTTAGGTATCTCTTATCTCTCTCTACGTGCGGGTCTCTTGGGGCTACTTCTCAGGGGGCTTAGGTACAATCTCAGGGGGCTTCTCTCCCCAAGGAGAGTCTCCCCTGGGGGCCCCTTGTTCTTGGGCGGGGAGGAGGGCGTCTCACCATGAGCTGGAAGAAGAACCAGGCATGCTGCAGGACAGCCTCACGCACGGCACTGCCGCTGACCACCCACTGCAGGGCCAGCTCCTCGTGAAGCAGCTGGGGGCAGGGGCAGGGATCACAGAGAGCAGAGGAGCCCACCCCGTACCCCTGTCTGGAGGGCGTGACAGGGGAGGATGCAGCTGGAGGGCTCGGGATTAGAGCAGCGAGAGGCCATGCAGGAGGAAAGGGGCCAGAAGGAGTCAATGTGCCCTTTCCCCGGGCTCTCCAGACCCTGCTGGGCTCGAGGGCAAGGGAGCTCTGGACCCCAAAATGGAGTCACCCACCCCCTGCCTCCCACTACCTTCTGCACAGTGGGTCTCGGCTGGGTGGCTGGTGGGGTTGAGGAGGAGCCCTCGAGGTAGGAAGAGGTTCGGCTAGAGCTGCGGTCGATGGCCTATGATGGGATGACGAGGGGATGGGATGGCGAGGGGGGTCAGAGTGGGTGCAGGCGGTATGGATAGAGGAGAGGGACAGTCGGCGTGGATGGAGGAAAGACATGGCCGTGTGGACAGACAGCGGGGACGTGGATGGGGAGAGCCGTGTTAATAAAGACAGAAGTGTGTGGGAGCGGATGGAGAGTAAGAATGTGATGGAAGAGACAAGAAGAAGCAAGACAGGGGACAAGGAGGGGACAAGCAGGGTGAACGGAACAGGCAAGAATGTGGACAGGAACCCGTCAGATGGAGCAGGACCCAGCAGACAAAGATAAGAGAAAAGACATGGGAGGAGTGGAGGTGGGGAGGGTAAAATCAGTGTAGACGGAGAAGAGAACGTGGTCAGAGGAGGTGAGTCAAGTGGGGACGAGGACGGAGAGTGTGTGTGAGTCCGTGAGTCCAGGGATGGACAGAGGAGGCGGAGGGCACCAGGGTGGAGGAGGAAGAGTGTAGACAGGGGTGTAGAGTATAGACAAAAGGGATTAAAGGGAGGATGGAGGAGGAGAAACAAGAAAAAGAAAGATAAGGACAGAGGAGGTGAGATGGTGATGAGAGGCAGTGGGAGCAGCCAAGAGAGCCCCAGTTTCCAGGCCTGGCCCCGCTCCAGCCTTGCTTGGGGCCTTGCCAGGCCTCAGTGTCCCCATCTGTGAAATGGGCATGAGGTGCTCAAGCTCCACTCTCCCCGCCTCCTTTGCTGGTCAGGTGAGGCCGCTGACAGAGAGAGGAGGCCCAGTGACGGAGCTGGACCGGCCCTGGAAACTGCCCAGGTCCTTGCCTTGGCCGTGGGGGCCCCCCCAGCTCCCACAGTCCCAGCCACACGCCCTGGGCTCCTCAGCCCGCATCAGATGGGCCATCTACTGCAAAGGCCAGCCTCACTGCCGCCTCCTGCCTGGAATGCCTGCCCTCCTGCCACCTTGTCACCTCTTATGTGCTCTTTCAGGCCCAGCCGACACCCCAGAGAACTGAGGGCACTGGTGGGGAGACCCGTTAAAAACATGGGGGGACTGGAAAGGCCCATGAACCCAGACTCCCAGCAAATCTTAGAAGACTGTCGAAAAGTCCCCCTGCTCGTGCTGTGAACAGTTCCCTGGCTGCCATGCGGTGCAGGTTGCCTAGGTGACAGGTACAGAGCTGGAACATGGCCTGGGGCCAGGTATGCAGGGAATCCAGTCCTTGGTGCCCAGGGGCCTCTGAGCTTGGTTCCAACCTCTGCATATGCCTTTCCCTCCATCTGGAACACCCACCCTTCACTGGCTGGCTCTATCTTACCCTTCAGGTACCAGCAAAAATGTCACCTCCCGGGAGAGGCTCCCCAGACCACCCAGAGGGAGGCTGGTGGCCTGTTTCAGTTCGTTTCCTTTCAGGTATTTTCACCCCCTGCACTTATATATTCATGTGTTTGTTTGATGGGTGTCTATCTCCCCGACTAGCCAGTAACTCAGGGATGAAGCTGGGTTGAGGATCTATCTCCCCAACAAAATCTTGCCTGTGATGCCCTAACTCCCTCCCAGGCTCGGACCGCTGCACTGAATAGCAAGTCTTCACTTCTGAAAATTCAGAACCTGGGGCGCAGGAGGAGCCCACAGCAGAACCAGGACTTGATCCCGATCCAGGGTCTGATGGCAAAGCCCCTCCCCACACCAGGTCCCAGGAAGGGGCAAAGCAAAGGAAGCTGCCCACAGGGGTCGCTCTGCCTGAAACGGGGTTGGGGAGCCCAGAGGTTCAGTTCCATCCCCTGGGCGTCATTCAGGCTGCTGTGTCAAGGGGACAGTTGAGAGTCTCCCGAACAGAGTGGATTAAAGGGAGAGAAACAGGCCATGCGGGACAGTGAGGTTAGAGTGGCTAAATGTGCACATCATTTGCATGCTATTTGCATACCACCCTGCCCCTTCTGTCTCTGCCTGAGGCTGTGGTCTGTGTGGCAGCAAAAGGCTGGTTAAGATGACCCTGTGTTGCCTACAACATCCCCTCACAGCCCCAAACAAAGGCGGGGGGGGGGGGGTCCCGGTGCCTCCTCCAGGCAGCCCCCTTAGGTTAGTCAGCCCCAGCCAGGAAGGTGGGAGGAGCTCATGCTGAGGTGGGGTGACACACGTGCAGGGGCAGGCAGGGAGGGCACCTGTCTGGGGTCGGCCCCACAATAAGGGGGTGCCCGTCGCAGCACCGCCTTGCTGCCTCCTGGAGCATAAGCAGAATTCACCCAGGAGTGTGAGCGGTCGATACCCTGGAGATACACGGATAAGTGGTAGCATCTATGGGCAGAGGGCAGGGAAACCAGCGTGAAACACCAAGCGTGCTCACTGTCCTGGGCCACACGTGTGCCCACGTGGACACCCACACGCAACCCTGGAATATGTGTGTGTGCGCAAATGCGCATGGGGTGCACACGTATATGCCTCCCGCATACGTCTGTGCATGGAACGCATGAGTACATGCACCCGCGTTCCCATGTGCGTGGGGTGCGTGCATATACGTGCCCCGTGTACGTACATGCATAGGGTACACGTGGAAATGCACCACTGCGCTATGTACATGGTGCTCTTTTTTCAAGATCCAGTCACCTGTCCTTGGGTCAGCCTAAGAGTCCGAGTCACAGCTCCCAACCTGTGACAGCCAGGGCCCAACCCTAATGTCCAGGGTCAAGTCTATTTTTTTTTGGCCAGTCTGTGTGGCTTGCAGGATCTTAGTTCCCTGACCAGGGATGGAACCCACACCCTTGGCAGTGAGAGCTTGGAGTCCTAACCACTGGACCGCCAGGGAATAACCCAGGGTCAAGTCTTCATCCATGCTGTTGGCTGTCTTTCCTATCCTCTGTCAATACTGAGATCTTTCACCTGCCCACCTGGCAGCCATGACCACTGAGGCTGGAGAGAGCAGGGGCCCCTTGCCCTACCTTGCTGGCCAGGATGCGGGAGACCTCGTCATCCACGGAGCCAGGGGCCACGGCCAGGTCAGGGTTGCTGCTGCTGATACTCTTAGAGCGGGCCAGGTAGAGGCTTGCGGGGCGGCCAGGGCCATGGGCCAGCGTGGCAGGCTGCAGCGTCACTGGAGGGGCCCCTGATGATAGAAGGAATATGCTCAGCCCCCTGCCCACCTGCCCTCATGACCCCCTGCCCCTTACCAGTCAGCTGCCTTTGGCGAAGTCACTTTCTTTCTCTGAACCTCTAGGTTTTTCACCTGTAAAATGGGTGTGGTAATGGCTCTGCCTCACAGCAATTTTGGGGAGAATCAAAAACACTGAGAACGGTGCCTGGCACGTTATAAGTCTTAGTGCTGATCGTTAATTATTTAGCAAATGAAAAAAAATCCAACTTTATTGAGCGCTCTGTGTGCCAAGCATTTTGCATGGATTACTATGCCATTGACTACTACTAGCACCCCTGTGAGAGGCACTATTATTATCATCGTTTTATAGATGGGAAAACAGGCCCAGAGAGGTCAAGTCACTGGCCCAGAGTCACAGAGCTTGTAGGCAGAACTGAGATTCAAACCCAGACAGCTCTGCTTGAGTCCCTGCTTGCTGACTGGCTGAATCACATGCCACTCAAGTTTACAAAGACCACACCCCTGGGGCTGGGGCAAAAAGTTCTCTCTCTCTCTCTCTCTCTCTCTCTCCTGTAAATTGCCCAAATCAACCAAAGCCTGTGCAGCCTCAGGACCTTTGCACATGCCCTTCCCTTTGCTTGGGATGCTCTGCTCCCAGGTATTGCCCGTGCCCCAGGGTCTCCCACCAACACTCACCGCCTGGGAGGCTGGGCTCCGTGCCAGGCAGTCGGAAGGCATAGTAGACATAGGCAGCCAGCAGTGGGCAGTGACCACGGGCATCCTGGGCAGCCTCCAGGCTCCGGTGGACGAGGCTGACTACATGAGCCATTGCTTCAAAGGCTACACGACCCAGGTTTACTGCCGGGCAGAAAAGAGGTCAAGTTCCAGGTCCCAGGGCTTCCTACTTCCCCAGGGAAGAGACTTCAGGGTCCAAGGGGCTCACGTGGCCATCAAAAAGTCAGGGGACTAGGGGACTGAGGGGCCATTTTTCAGATTGGAAAACTGAGGCCAGAGAGATAAATGGGCTATGGGAGGTCACCCAGGACCAGGGGACCCAAGGCCCATTCTCCAGATGGGGAAACTAAGGTATGAGGCTGTGCCCACGCACCGATCTGGCCGCCGATGATCGGGGGCCGCACGACCAGGCGTACGAGCTTGTCCAGTACGTGGTGGGAGAAGGCGACAAGGGGTTCAGGGCTGGCGAGTCGCAGGGCCACCAGGCTGGCCCGCAGCTCCTGTTCCACGGTGCTCTCGCTCAGCACGGCATCCTTGAGCCGGAATGGAAAGGCCCCTTCCTCCAGGACGTGCACCAGGGTGAAGAATTTGTCCAGGTAGGGGTCCTGGTGGGAGACCAGGGGTGAGCAGGGCGAGGCCAGGGCCCCCAGTCCAGAAAGGGCCCAGGGGATCGAGTGCGAGGCTGAGTAGGCTGGGACACCAAGGCTTGGGATCAGTGAAGGGAAAATACATGAGAAAAGGGACAAGACGGTAGATCAAGAAGAAAAGGAAAAGATGGGGAGTGATCACAGAAATAACAAGGGACAGATCGGGTGGGGGGAGGAGAGACCATGCAAAGGCCAAAGCTCCAGCTAGGACGGCCACTGGCACGGCTGCCCCCGCCTGAGTCAGCAACTTCCCTGGAGCCTGGCCCCGCTGACCAAAGTCGTGTCCAATGGCCCGAAGCCAGGCCTCCCTGGTCAGTGGAAACTGTTGCCCAACCCCAGGGCCGGACTCCTGGGCTCTGGCCCCACCCCCTACCTGGGGGTGCACAGACGACACAGCCGTGAGTTCCACGCTGAACACACCCTTGTGGCCATCCACCCAGCGCATGCCCGGCAGCGCCACCTGCGGGAGGGACACACCAAGTGGGCACCGGCCGGCCCTCCCCACGGCTCAGGCCACCAGCCTCAGCCATTGCGACACTGTGGCCTGAGCACAGCCCCGCCCCAGGGAGCCACCTGGCACCCTGCCCCTGGGCCCCGCCCAACCCAGAGATGGGGGCAGATGAAGGGGAGCGCTACGGGGGTCCACCGGGCAGGCCGGAAGCCTGGGATGCTCACGGGAGAATGGAAACCCAGAGTGACTGTTATTGGAGGGAATGAACAGGAAATAGCATGATGGGAGGACTCCAGGTCCCCGGGGTGCAAATTAAAGGCTATGTGGGAGGGTGACAGAACATTCGCATGGGGAGGGGGTGCTCTAGGGACAGTGATTAGAGAGGCAAGCAGGGCTGCAAGTGGGGGGCTGCAGCGGAGAGGCAGTGGAATCTCACTATGGAACAGTGAGTGCAGAGGCAGGGGAGGGGGCAGTAATGAGGCAGGGCTAGTCGGGGACAGGGAGGGACATGCACGGGGGCAGCAGATCACACAGGATTAATAATGGGGGTGGGTGTGACGAGGCAGGCAGGGGCCCTGGAGGCCCTAATGGAGGACAAGGCTCCCAGGGGTGTTGGTGGGAAGGAAAGCAGGGCACGAATGGGGGCCTTGGGAGCACTGATGGGGGACAGGGTGCTAGTTGGCAGGGAGTCCAGAGCACGTACGTCCGGTGTGAGCACGGAGTAGCTGGGCGGGGGCTGATCCACGGACACAGGGAGGCAGAAGGGGCCGGTCCTCAGGCGGCCGTGCTGCAGCAGTGGGATCCACTGGGGAGAGGCTGGGGGTCAGGTATGGGGCCGGACAGGGGGCAGGAGGGCTGGGCATGGGGGTGTGGGCTGGCAGTGGTGGAGGGGAGCTCACAGTAAAGCCCACAGGAGTCTCCAGGGCTGTGCCTGGCCGGGGCTGGCAGCTGACGTGGTAGAAGGTGAAGAGCAGGTGGTGGTTCTCGGTCACACAGGCCGGAAGACGCAGCTTAAATTCCTCGTAGAATTCAGGGGACCTGGCAGGGCCGGCTGGGGGTTCTGCTGGGGGCTGGGCTCCCCCTTGCCTGCCCCGCCCCGTCTGCTACATGTTTCCCCAGTGCTGCTGGGCCCCACTGTCCCTGCTCTCTGCCTCGGGTTCCCGCATTAGCACTCCAGGAGACGGCACCCCTCCCCCGACCCTGGCGCCCCTTCCTGCCCCACTGTACCCCCATCAGTCCCCCCACCCCGACCCCACATACTTGTTATGGTAGACCACTGGTGTGAAGGCCTCGCGGGTGAATTCACTGCAGCTGGACTTGCCAAAGATGACCTGGGGGAGCAGGGGCATGAGGGGCCGGCGGGGGACACCCCGCCCGCCTCCCCCTGGGCCCAGCCACTGACCGGCAGGGCCTGGCTGGGGTCCTCGCCCGCCATGTACTGCACTCGCACAGTGAGGTTGCGCACGGAGCCCTGGCGGCTGCTGAAGTTGAGGCTGTGTGGGTACACGTACAGCAGGTTCCTGCGGGGGCAGGGGCATGTCCACGTCAGAGGGACAGAGAGCCGGGGGACAGTGGCCACACCACTGGGGCACTGAGAGCCGGGTCAGGGACACGTATGGGCACCAGGCGGGAGATGTGACTGGCAGAGAATGGAGGACAGACGGGCACCCTCAGAGCGCAGGTGGGGGAACGGTGTGGCAGACGGCGGGAACAGAGGGACTTCGGGGGTACTGAGGGTACACAGTGAGGCAGAGGGCAGGAGACAGATGGGTGCTGAGGGCCAGACTTCCGAGAAGGTAGCCCAGGCAACCAGCACCAGGCCTGAGCCCTGCGCAGGCTGACCTGCCCATCACCCAGCTCAGCAGCCTGACCACCCCTTCCCCCAGAAGAGGCCACTAGAATTATATGGCGTGTCTCTCAGGTGGGGCAACCAAGGCTGGAGTTGAAGGCAAGGGCTGGGCTGGGGTCAGGGTTCTGTCTCCCTCCCCCAGGGTAACTCCATTCAAGCCCTAACTGCCCCCTGGGCCTGTTTCCCTATCTGTCTAATGGGGGCATCAAGCCTCCCCAGCTGAGCCTTTGTAATACCAATGATGCTAAATTACAAAAATGTCAATAATTGCACCAAACACTAATGTGGCACTGACTGGCTCTGGGTGCGTTGGGCTCTGTTCTAAGCACCCGACGTGAAATGACTCATTTATTTCTCACCAGCAGCCTGTGGGCAGGGACTCACATCACACTCCATTTCACAGGGAAACAGAGGCGCTTGCCCACAGTCATCCAGGGAGACAAATGGCAGTTAGCACTGAGCCAGGGTACGTGGAGGTCCTGGAGTCAGGCTGTGCGGCCTTGGGAGAGCCTCCGCCATCTGTACCTGCTCCCTTAGCTCTTAACCAGGCCAACAAAAACTCCAGCATCACAGGCTCATGGGAGGATTACGAGACCAGCTACTATAACAGCAGTGGGACAGCTCTGGGCAAACCACTGGAACTCATAAAAGCTTCACTGTTATTGCCGTTATTGTTGTCATGCCTATCCACAGGAGGGGAAACTGAGGCTAGGAGCCGTAGGGTCTCCCAGCGGGGCCTGGGCCTGTTCTCTCCTAGCGTCCCCAGCCCACACCTGGCCCCAAGCCCCAGCCAGCGTGATGCCAGCGTGGCCCGGCTGGACATTCGCCTGATGCAACTTTAGTGCCACCGCCAGGTCCTTGCACAACACGGGGCACCCGGCTGGCCAGTTAACGATTGACCTGAGGTTAAGGGAGGTGTTAAGGCATAAAAGGCAGCAGCAGTGTTGCTGTGGCCACACCCCCAGCCCCCCAGTCATGCCCATGCTCATGCTGTGTCTGCTGTGCGCCCTGGCAATGGTGGCCCAGCCTGCCCCGGTGGCCCCCATGAGCAGCTCGGAGCTGGCACAGCAGGAGGAGCTGACCCTGCTCTTTCACGGGGCCCTGCAGCTGAGCCAGGCTCTCAACGGCGTGTACAGGGCCACCGAGGCACAGCTGACAGAGGCCGGGCGCAGCCTGAGCCTCTATGGCCAGGCGCTGGGGCTCCTGGGGCAGGAGGTCAGCCAGGGCCAGGATGCAGCCCAGGAGCTACGTGCGAGCCTACTGGAGATGCAGGTAGACGCTGCAGTTGGGGTGTTGTGGTGTGGATAGGAGTCTATGGGAGAGTTATGCCTAGGGTGACCAACTGTCAGGTTTTCCCAGGACTGAGGGGGTTCCTGGAATACAGGATTTCCAGTGTTAAAATCAGGCCAGTCCCACTAGGTCATCCTACTGACATCCACTATCTATTGATCAGATGGCAGAGGATGGTCTCAAGCTGCAGGCAGAAGCCACAGCCCAGGCGCTGGGGGAAGTGGCCCAAGGACAGCAGGTGCTGCGGAAGAAAATGAAGCGGATGGAAGTCCAGCTGAGAGGCGCTTGGCTGGGCCATGCCCGCCAAGAATTTGAGGCCTTAAAGGTAAGGGGTTCCCAGCCCTGGGGGAGTCAAGACCCTGATTCACAACCAGACCTCATTTCTGAACCTTTTGTCCCAGAGACCCCCCAAAGGTCAGCCTTCCAGCACCCTGGCCTCTACTCTGTGTGTCTCTGGGCAAAACCCATGTCCCTTCCCATGCTTCAGTTTCCCTATTTGCAAATAAGGGCGACAACTGATTTCTCAAAGCAGAGCCAGGGACTCAGTGCAGATAAAATCCTCAGTATGGGGTGGCACATGGGAGTTACTCAATAAATGCATACTATTTAGAGAATTTCTTGAGTGCCCATGATGTATCCAGGCACTGTTTTATGCCCTCTAAAAATCCATGCTCATAACAACCCCACAAAGGGACTCCTGTTTCACCCCCATTTTACAGGTGGGGAAGTTGAGGCCAAGGAGTGGCAGTGACTTGCCAGGTCACACAGATGCAGTGGGGAGCAGGGGGGTCTGGGTGGGGTCGAGGGACAGGAGGTGAGGAGGCCCCCAGCTGAGGTTTCTGTCCTGACCCCACAGGCCCATGCAGACAAGCAGAGCCACATCATCTGGGCCCTCATGGGCCACATGCAGCGACAGAAGCAGGAGATGATGGCACAGCAGCAGCGGCTGAGAGATATTCAGGAGAGGTGTGCCTGGTGGGGGGTTGGGCGTGCCAGGCAGCGGGATGGGGACCCCTGCGCCTTGGCTGAACCTCACCTCCCTCCCAGACTCCACACGGCGGCGCTCCCAGCCTGAGACCTGTCTGGGTGGAACTGAGGACCAGTCACGCACCGAGGGATGCTGCCATGCCCCATGCGGCCCCTGCACAGGGAGGAGCTGCCTGTCTGCTGAGGTCGGCCAGGGCGCTGGGCCCCATTTCCGGCCATGGAGCAGAAACGAAAGCAGGCAGGGACGCAGGCAGAGGACACGGACCGTCGAGGAGGGGTGGAGGAAGGACACGCCCCTTCATTCCTATCCATCCCCCATTAAAGCAGAGCAGTGGCATCTCAGGCCAGTGTCTGTGAGTGTCGGGGAAAGGGCATCTCACTTTGCACAATGCCTGAATGCCCCTATTCAAGTGCACGGCTGCCCCAGAGGCTGTACCTGTAGCTGGTGTGGGGGGCGTAGACCTCACGGGCGGGGAACTCCAGAATCTCCTTGGTGGGCCGACCCCTGGGGTCTGGGTAGGGCTTGACATGAAGCAGCTCCGGGGAGAGGCAGAAGTGGGGGTTCTCAGGGGCTGGGGAGATGTCAATCTTGAGCTGGGCTGGGGAGGGGGTAGTCAGTTTGCACATGCCTGGGAGCCTCGAGCCAGGCCCTACCTCTCTGGGCTTCGGATCAGGGCTCTGACTCTCCCACAACACCCTCTGGTGGCTCTATCCTTCAGGTGCTAAGGCTGAAAGATGGCCTCAACTTCCATGTCTTGCCCTCATATTTGATCAGCTCTGCCCACCACATTCCCCGTGTGACCCACTATCTATCTGTCTTATTTATTCTTTTTTTTTTTTTTGGCCGCACCCCGCGGCATGCGGGATCTTCCCCAACCAGGGATCGAACCCGTGCCCCCTGTAGTGGAAGCGTGGATTCTTAGCCACTGGACCACCACAGGGAAGTCCTATCTTACTCTGTTTCTCATCTCTGGGCCCCATTAGAAGGTCCACCCGTGAAGTCGGGGCTTTGCCTATCATGGATCCCAGGGCCTGGCACAGTACGTGCTCAGTGTGGGTTTGCTGAGTGACTGTATGAGTAACACGTCTCGTCTAGGGCGCGCACCACGCACCGGTCACAGGCCGCAGGCGCCGCAGCAGGGATGTCGGGCGCCGCATGTCAGCCAGGAACTTGAAGAGGTCCTCGTCACTGAGCCGCTCAGCTTCCTGCAGGGACCCTCCCTGGTGAACCAGGGCTGAGGGGCTTGGGGTCCCCGGGGCCCGGGCAGCCACAGGGGGGTAGCCCTTAGCCCCCTGCCCCCCGAGCCACGGCACCTGCTTAAAGAAGTTGGTGACAGTTAGCGTGGCTGGGCGGAAGCCGGAGAAGCTGCAGGCGTCGTCCCCGCTACTCGTCCGGTCCTGGGGCCCCCGACGGCGGCGGTCAGTCCAAGTGGGTCGGCGCTCTAGGGGAGACAGTGACAGTGATGGAGAGGGACAGAAATGAGAGAGAGGCAGGGAGGGGCAGAGACGGTGCGGACTCAGGTCTGGTACCAAGTCCGGCCAGCAGAGGGCGCCCCTCCCCTTCCCCGGTAGCTCCGCCCCTGGCCCGTCGGCCCCGCCTCCTCACCGCCCTCCGAGTCCGAGTCCCGGTCCGACTGGCCCGCGCTGCTCACAATGTTGGCCAGGTGCACCGCCGTCCAGGCAAAGGGCATGCGGTAGCGGCCCAGACGGGTGCAGAACTGCTCAGCCGCCAGGCGCAGCTTCTCTAGCTTCTCTTTGTTCTGTGGGGAGACGCCGGAAACACACCCCACAATCTCAGTGCCCCAGGCCCTCTGAATCCAGGATCTGCCCTGCCTGGGGACCCCTTCACTACCCGGCCCAGCTTCCCACGCTTACCTTGGCTGTGTCCACCTCCTTCATCACCATGTAGGGCTCGCAGCACTCGCTGATGTCCCCCTGCTGCAGCACCTTCTCCAGCTGAGGGGCAGACAAGGCCAGTGAGGCACTGCTGGGACTGCGACCTCCCCAAGCCACACCCAACTTCCCCGACCCTCACAGCCTCCCATACATTCCGTTCCATCCAGCTAGGGCTCTCGGTTCCAACACCAACCATGGCTCCCACTGTCGTTGGGATTGAGTGCTAGCTCTCAGCCTGGGCAACCAGCTACACCCTCCCCACCTTTTAAACCCCGCCCCAAACCCAAGACTCCATTTTTTCCCCCACATTTACATCTTTCTTTGTTAGTATAAACAGAGTCCACATCAAGCATGGCTCTGAGCCTGGACTCCAATCCTGACCACTCAGGGGCTATGGGACCTTGAGCACATTCCTTACCAGTTCTGTGCCTCAGTTTCCCCAACTGTAAAATGGGCACCATGTCATCTCCCACCTCCCGGGGCTGCTGTGAGGACCAAAGACCAGAATCCCTGTGAAGCCTAACTGACTGGGAGCAGTGCCTGCCTTAAGGTGTTCAATTAATGTCATTAGCATAACCTAATTGAATGTTTTGGAGAAGGAAATTTGAACTCACTCCTGGAAAAAGAAAATCCCAAACAGGTCTTTCTTCCTCTAATAAACTGAAAAACTCTCAACTAAAAAAAATTTTAAACATCCACCCACATGTGCCGGGATGCCATTTCTCCCCAGGCTGCCCACTCATGGGTGTCGGCTGAGCTGTAACCTCTCCAAGGAAGCCCTTGGTGATTTCTCCCCACCTGGGTTGGGTCAGAAGCTTCCTCTGGGCTCTCACCCAGCTGCCTGTACTTCCCCCACGACAGCCCTGATCACCCTTCTTAGTGACATGTCTGTCTTCTTTCATGAGAGTGGGGACCTCGCCTGCAGCCTTCACCATTATCACCCCCTTGCCAGCCCCAGTGGGTACCTTGATGACCAAGAAGATGTCGGGCGAGGGATAGGTCACGGAGAAGATGGCAGAGCGGGCCAGGGTGGAGATGGCAGGATGGGTGCCATGGGCCCGCAGTAGCCCCTTCATGGAGTCTGAGTTCAGGTCAAAGTAGAAGTTCTCCGAGATCTGGGGGCACAAGAGGCAGCTGGGCCACCACTTCCAGGAAGCCCACTACCCTGCAGCGAGGAGGGGGGCTGTGAGGAAAGGGAAGAAAGGGGTTCCTACCTTCTTCTTCTCCCGCACGTCGTACAGGGCCAAGATGCCAAAGATGGGCTCGATTTCTATCTCGAACCTGCAGTAAACGGGGGTTCTCTGGCAGAGGATGACCTTGACACTCCCTCCTCCATACACCCCACTCCCTCTTGAGGTCCAGCCCAGCCTTGGTGCTTTGTGGGGGCGGGGGGCATCTGTTTCCCACTGGGTCACAGAGAAGCACCATTCAAGGGCTTGTAGGAAAGACCTGTCCCATTTTGCCAAAGGGGAAACTAAGGCACCAAGAGATTACCTACCCCACCTCCCCCACCCACCTTCCTCCCTCAGTAAGTAACTCACACAGAGTCCCCCCTGCTGAAACCACAGCCCTTGTTCGGTTGGCATGGAGGCAGCTTTTGGCACATCAATCCCTCCCCCCAAGTCCCATCTTGAAATTCTCGACTCCTGGGCCTCCCTGCCTCCGCTCCCTGAGGTGTTCTCTACGGCTTCTGCCATCCTGGGCTGAGTCCCATCTTCGATCACCTAAACAGCCCCCATAACCGCCTCCCTGTCTTACTCTGCCCTGCTCATTTCTACTCATCATCCACGTGCCTCCTAAGGAAACATCTTAAAACTTAAAATTTGGGACTACCCTGGTGGTCCAGTGGTTAAGAATCCGCCTTCCAATGCAGGGGACGTGGGTTCGATCCCTGGTCGGGGAACTAAGATCCCACATGCCGCGGGGCAACTAAGCCCACGCGCCGCAACTACTGAGCCCGCACCACCATTAGAGAGCCTGCGTGCCACAACTTAGAACCCGTGAGCCACAACTAAGAACCCGTGTGCCACAACGAAAGATCCTGCATGCCGCAACGAAGATCCTGCATGCTGCAAAGAAGATCCCACATGCTGCAACTAAGACCTGATGCAGCCAAATAAATAAATAAATATTTTTTAAAAAAAGAAGGTAGTAAGAATAAAAAAAAACCAAAACTTAAAATTTGAGGCTCCTCACTGCCCTGCGTGGCCCTGTCCCGCCCACTTCTTGGCCTCAATTTTCCTCTCTCCAGACATCTCCTGGCCTCTGTTTGTGCTGTATCCCCCACCTAGAGAGCCCTGTGTGGTCATCCCACAGTTACACGGCCTTGCATACAGTAGACGCTTAATGAGTGTTTGTTGAATGACTGGATGAGCTCAGAGAGCCAGTTCCCAGCCCCTGTGCTTGAGGCAGGAGGCCCACCCGGGCCTCAGGCCAGATGGGACCTCCCTTTCCTGCCCCCATGCAGGCAGGAACTGAGAGTTGGGGAGGGGCAGGGCCGGGCTCAGGTCCAAGGCCACATCCTGTTCAGCTCCATTCCCACGAATGCTGGCTGCTCCCAGGGGACGATGTGGAGGGGGCCTTGGGCAGCTAGAAGCCAGGCCCAGGGTCACCAGCGCCCCCTCTAGCCTGGGTCCTAGCAGCAGCCTGGGCGAGGGCCAGACTCTGGCCTCACAACTCGTGATCTTGGACACAATGACCTTTCCACCCTGTGCCTCGGTTTCCCACCAGCACCCACATCGCATGTTGTGGTGAAGGTCAGTGTTAATACACATGGAGGGCTGAGAACTGAGCCTGACACACAACTGGAGCTTAGGATTGGCGGTTTTGAATAATGAAAAAGGGAGTCTTATTTTCCAGCCTGAGAGCCCACGGGTGTCCTCATAGGTCTCAGGGCTGCACACGGTAATGGCATAGCTCTAGTAGTGAGCGCCGAGTGTGTGCCACACCATAAGCCACATGGTCCCCTCCCATGTCTGAAGGGAGGGACGGGTCAGCACACTCACTTAAGCGACAGACACTTGACCAGGATCCTCTGTCCGAAGTGCTCTCGGGGTGGCTCCGGGCGGCTGCAGCGTTCCACGGCCTCATCCTGCCAAGAGCCGAAGGGGCAGCTGGGAACACATCCTCCAGGAAGGGCTTGGAATGTGTGGCCTGAGACCAGCTCTACCCGCAGGCTGACTAAACTTTCAGTCCCCTGCCTCTGAGCCTTTGCACATGCTGTTCCCACTACCTGGAATGCCCTTCTTCTCCCTTCCTCCTTGCCTGGCCAATACATGCTCATCGTCAGGTCGCACCTTAGCTGGAACTTCCTCCAGGAAGCCTTCCCTCACTCAGAGCCACTTGATGTTCCAGATGCTCAACAGGCCCTGCTGCAATGGGCCACATGGCTGGGACATTGTGGGCCATGTGAGGGACAATGACACACACCTCTTCATGGTACTATTCTGGGTTGTCATTTCCTGGTATCTCTCCTCCCCTAGGCTGTGAACTCAGAGAGCAAAGACTGGCTCTATCTTGTTCGTGGCTGTATCCCCAGTGCCTGCTATATAACTGGCACTCAAACATCTTGGTTGGATCAACACAGAGGTATGTAGTAGGTACCTACTAAAAAGTGGTTGAATAGACATATACAGAAAGTATTTGATTAATGCTGACTGGACATATATAGAGACGTGTACTAGACACCCAATAAGTACTAGTTGAATAAAATATTGGGGTATACAGCAAGCATTCAATAAATGGCTGAATTAAAACACAGATGTATATACTAGGTGCCTAATAAAAGTTAGTTGGATAAATATAGGTACACATGGTAGGTGCTCGATAAACATTAGTTGCTCAAATGCTGTTTAATTAAATAGAAGACTATACAGTAGGCATACAGTTAACATTGACTGAATAAATATGAATATACGGTAAATGCCCAATAAATGCTGGGTGGATAAATATAAGGGTATGTATAATAAATAAAGGTCATTGAATAAAAATATAGGGTACACAGTAGGTGCCCAATAAATGCTGAATGGATATAGGGGTATATATAATAAGTCATCAAATAAAAAATAGGGTACACGGTAGGTCCCAATAAATATTGGTTGATTATATGCTGTTTGATTAAAGAAAGACTATACAGTAGGCTTACAATAAATATTGGTTGAGTAAATATAGCAGTATAAAGTAGGTGCCCAATAAATGCTGGGTGGAAAAATATAGGGGTATATAGTAGGCACCCAATAGAAGCCATTGAATTAAAGTATACATTGCAGGGTATACAGTAGGCACCCAGGAAATCTTGCTGGGATCATATACTGTGATACATGTCAGTTGGATGTGTATTGACCTCAGGGCCTGTGCAGGCTAGTGGGCACCCACCTCGTCGGGCGCCGGGTAGAGGGTGAGCAGGGCACGGGACCGGTGCTGCCGCCGCAGGGCCTCATTGCGCCGGTCCACATCCTCCGGGGCCGCGCGCTCCAGCAGTGAGGGCAGCAATGAGTCGGCTGCCAAGTTCCTCAGGTCGAAGATGCCAGAGGCACCACTGCTCCGTGGGGTGTCGTCTGGGGAGCCTGAGGAGTGCCGGGGGTCATCCTGCCAGCAGTAGAGAATGGGCAAGCGCTGAGTGCCAGCTGAATGCATCTCCATCCTACTCAGGTGAGACTGTCCTCATGCCCAACCCATAGATGGGGAAGCTGAGGGCCAGGGGCTGGGGTCACCACTACAAGGGTCACCTGAGGGCTCTGCTGACTCTCTTTCTAGAACCTTCTGTCTGGGGAAGCCCCCTCCTTTACTATTGTGGGGAGGTTACTTCCCAGTCTGGGTATCACATGACCCTTGTCTGGCCAATCAGAACAAAACAGGTACCAACCCCAGGGATTGGCTCCAAGGTCAGGATATGCCTGGGTTGGGCCAATGAGAGCCTTCCCTGGGACTCTGCTCACTGTTGCCAGGGGAGGGAGAGTTCTCACTGGGGCTGTCAATGGCCCAGGACCCTGCCTGACCTCCCAGACTCAGCTATGGTCAGAAGCAGACTACCTTGGTTCAAATCCCAGCTCAGCTCTGTGACCCTGGGTCTCTGATCCCAACCCTAAGGGCCTCAGTTTCCCCATCTACATTTATAAATAGTAACAAGGAAACAATAATTCTTGACATGATTATTACTGGTAAAAGTAGACACTCAATAAATATTGGTTGACAAAATACAGGCTCAAGGCTCAACCAGGGATTGAACCCAGGCCATAGCAGTGAAAGCTCCGAATCCTAACCACTAGACCACCAGGGAACTTCTGTCTTTATCTGTAAAATGGGTGTTGCCCGATCTCACAGGATGAAAGATAAGGACAAGTATAAAACATTTAGTACACACTAAGCCCTTAATAAATGCTTATAATTGTTACCCTTAACTTTTCACTTACAGGGCTGATACATTTCCTTTTGGGTTCAAGGCTGTTTGGGTCATTTCCCATCATACGCATTTGAGAGCTGGGGCCGCAGCCCATGCATGCATGTACATATGCTTATAGTGACCCCTGCCCAGGGCTTCCTCACCGAGTCGTCTGGGCTGGACCTCTCATCCCCAGAAGCGTCCTGCTCGAAGACCTGGCGGGTGAGGCCCTTCTGCCTCTCTCGCTGCGTCTCTAGGGTGATGGGGCTGTATGCTGCACTCAGGTGCTGGTACCTAGGAGGAGGCGGGGCTTGGTGGGTATCAGGAATGAGGGCTCCCCAGGGCTCCCGGATGTGCTGACACACCTCCAAGGTCCAGATGATGCCTGCAAGGCCCCCCACCCTCCCAGCGCTCTGCCGGAGAAGTCTGGCTACCCTTAAAGGGACGGTGGGTGGATAAACAGGAGGACCGGCAGCATACAATGGGCTCTTCTGGGCTCAGACCTGGCCTCTCTACCCTCAGCTGCCCCCGAGCCAGACCCACCTCCTGTGGGCGATGATCCAGTCCTCCGTGTACATCTCCACGGCAGCCCTCACCTGGGCATCCAGCTTTCTGCACAAAATACAATCAGGGTAATAAACAGAGGCAGGGCCCAGTGTTAATCTTTCCAGTGGCCTGTGAGGTAGGGCCTGTCCTTCTGTCTGTTTCAGAGATACAGAGGTAGAGGCTCAGAGAGGGCAGGGGACTTGCCCAAGGTCACACAGTGGAGCCAAGAGTTGAAAGAGGGTATTTATGGGGGGCACAGAGGTAGGTGGAGTTACAGACAGGGAGGGTGTGGGGCTGAACCCACCCATCCTCGGGGATCCCAGGTTCCGTGGTGCGGCATTCCCGGGGCTGCAGCAGCAGCTCCAGGTCATCAGCTGGAAACTCGACCAGGTCCCGGAGTGGCCCAGGCTCTGCATCTGGCGGCCGGCTCAGGAGCACATCCTCAAAGTCCAGCGGCTCAATGACTTCAGTCAGTGGGACCTGAGTTGGAGCAAAGTGGCTGTGACCCGTGCCCTGGGGGGCTGAAGGGTGAGTGTGGACTTGGGCTGGCCTTGAACAAACAAGAGGGTGGTGGGAGCCATGGAGGGTGTTGGAGCTGGAGGGGCCCTGGAGGACAGTGACCTCAGCCACTCCACCCCCACCCCAGCTTGGCCGGCCCTGACCCTCTTTCCAGGCAGGAAATCACACCCTGTGCCTGGAGGGGCAGGAAACTCATGGTGGAAGGAAAGGTTTGTGGACTGCAGCAAAGAAAGAGACAACTCCTCAGGCCTTGGGGCGAGAGAGCCCCACCCCTCCCCACTGCAGCCAGAAGCACCTCCCATCCCCCAGACCACCATCCCCAGCTGGGTGGTCCAGGCAGCAGGAGTTGCGGGCCACAGCAGGCTGAACTTCTCCGCCCCCCTCGACCACCCACAGGGCTGCTCCCTGCAGAGAGGGGGGTCCACCACCCTCCCACTCACGCTCACTGGGGACAGGAATGGGGACAGTGCTGGGCCAGGACAGGGACCCCCTTCCCTGCCACAGCTGGGTCCCTCCCAGCCTCAGGTTCCCCACAGCAGCGGGGGGGGGGGCTCCCAAACACTCACCCCCAGGGAGCTGCTGCAGCGCCTGCTGGAGTGGGGAGAGCCACTGCGTTCCCGGGACACCTGCTTCCGCACCTCGGCAGCCACCGTCCTGTGGGGACAGGAAGGGGGCAGTTGGGGGCAGGAGAACTTGGGCAGCGGGGCCCTGGGAACCGGGGCTTCAGAGCCGACAAATTCATTCCATGAGAGGAAAATCCAGGCTATGGAAAGAAAATAAATCAGGCCCCGGGCCAAGAGAACCCAGGCTTCAGGAGCCACAGATCTCAGCGTGTGGGCCCCAAGGCTGTGGCGCATACATCATCCCCTTTCCTCCTGCAAGCACAGATAGAGGGCTGCTGCTGGGCAGGGCCTGAGGGCCACTGATTCCTGCGCGTCATTCTTCCCCCTGGCCCCCGGGCTCTGAGTCCTGACCCACCAGGACTGGCTTCCAGGTCTGGAGAGAGGCCTCTACTTCCTCATCTGGAGGACCTCTGCCTCTCATCAGGAACATGAGAACCGTTCCACCCTTGCCGGACAAGTCACTTCTGCCTCTGAACCTCAGTTTATCCATCTGTAGCTGCCCTGCTCTCACAGACCAGTGGAGCTGAGCAGGGGGCCTGGCATTCAGTGGGCATGCCACACACCCACCTTCTCAGGGAGTCTGAGACTGAGGCTGACTGTGTGTAAGAGGCCAGCATGACTCTTAGAGAGCACAACCCAGCCACCAAGGTCAGTGCCGTGGCCTTCATGGGCCGCCTGCATCTACGCTGACCTTCAGAGTCCCAGAGGATGAGGGTGAAGGGGCAAGACCCACAGCGGAGGGGGCCAGCACGGGAATTTCGAACAAACCCTACAGGGGCAGGGATTCCCCAAGCTCTCAATTCCCTCAGCTGAGCTTGGAAGGAGAGGGAGCCATGCAGTTACCTGGGGGAAGAGTGTGCCAGGCAGAGGGAACAGCGAGTGCAAAGGCTCTGAGGCTGGGCTCTGTTCTCTGGGCCTGGAAATCCCTGCTCCCTGGGGTCTCTGTGAAAACAGGACTAGGGCTGTGTTGTCCCTGTGGAGGCCCCAGCACTGGATCCCACACATAGTAGATGCTCAATAAATTTTTTTTTTTTTGGCTGCGCCACATGGCTTGTGGAATTTTAGTTCCTCGACCAGGGATCACACTCCAGCCTACGGCACTGAAAGCGCCAAGACCTAACCACTGGACGGACTGCCAGGGAATTCCCAGCAATAAATGTTTTTTTTTTTTTGCGGTACATGGGCCTCTCACTGTTGTGGCCTCTCCCGTTGCGGAGCACAGGCTCCGGACGCGCAGGCTCAGTGGCCATGGCTCATGGGCCCAGCCGCTCCGCGGCATGTGGGATCTTCCCAGACCAGGGCACGAACCCGTGCCCCTGCATCGGCAGGCGGACTCTCAACCGCTGTGCCACCAGGGAAGCCCAATACATGTTTTTTTTATGGAATGAGTGAATCCCTTCCAATCTCCCTCTTGGTCCAACTTGCGTAAATCTACTATCAGTTGGGGGAAGCCCCTTATCTTTTAGCTCTGTGGCTTTGGACCAGTGGAACAACCTTTCTGGGCCTCAGTTTCTCTTAAAATCAGGAAGGCAAGGCAATGGCTGAGGGGTTCAGGCCTCAATCACTCCTGCTTCCCTCTTTTCTCTTATGCTTGGAAATTTTCTTAATAAAAAGTTGTGCCCCTGGGACTTCCCTGGTGGTGCGGTGGCTAAGACTCCGTGCTCCCAATGCAGGGGGCCCGGGTTCTATCCCTGGTCAGGGAACTAGATCCCACATGCCGCAACTAAAGACCCCACGTGCTGCAACTAAGATCCAGAGCAGCCAAATAAATAAACATTTTAAAAAAATAAAATAAAAATAAAAAGTTGTGCCCCGTAAAGCGCTATGTTGAGGATTGCAAATGTGGCCCACAAGTGTCCAATGCAATGGATGTGTGAGGTGGGCCCAGGAAAGACAGGTGTGGAGTGGGGATAATTAGGAGCTTCAGCCCTGCCTGTGAGCCTCCGAACTCAAATCCGTGTGGGTCAAACAAAACTTGGCCACGACCCTGATCCAACGTGGGGCCTCCAATTTGAGACCCCAGCCTCATTCCTTCTCTGTCCCTGGATTCTATTTCTTTTCTCTGTCAACTGTCTCAGAGTCTTGCTTCTATTGGACGGGAGGTGTGGGGAGGCGGGGAAGGGAAGAGAAGCTTGTAGGAAATTCAAAGAATGTTAAAACTTAGGGATTTGTGGAATTCCCTGGCGGTCCAGTGGTTAGGACTCCGTGCTTTCACTGCTGAGGGCACAGCTTCAGTCCCTGGTTGGGGAACTAAGATCCTGCAAGGCAGGCGATGCTTGGGGGGAGGAAAAATTAGGGATTTGTCCTCAAATTCCCCAAGTCCAGGCCACTTCCTCTGGAAGCATGGGCACACAGAGGAGGATTGGGGGTGATTTACGAAAGATGCCGTATCAGGGAACCTGTCTGTGCCCTGGTCCCAGCTGTTCTGCAGCTGCTGCCCCAGAGCAGGGAGGGGGGTGGGGAGGGCTGAGCCTCCAGCTTCATTTTGCCATGGGCCTTAGAGTGAGGCCCCCAGAGTGGGAGAAGGCTGGGTCCACAACGGTGTGGCCACGGGAGCCAGGTTACTGAGTCACAGAGCTCTGCACTTGGAGCTGGGCGAGCAGGGGTGAATGACATCTTTTCTCTGGACCTCTGGGCTCGGGACAGCACCCACGACTTATTGAGCTGTTCTGAGTGTAGGGCCTGGCACATAGTAAGTGCTCAATTAAAGCTAGCTGTCACCACGTTGCCTCACAGAGCATCCTGGGAAACTGGAATTTCTGACCCTGCTTTGTATACCAAAGGTGAGTGAGGCTCAGAGAGGGGTCGTGAGGCACCCAGGGTCACACAGCAGAATGCAGCGGTGCCCAGAATTGAACCCTGGTCAGCTGGAGGTCAAAGTCCTTTAGCGCTAGGCATTCCATGATGGGGAGCAGGGCCAAGAACAGGGGCTCCAGAACCTGCCCCTTCCCTGTCCACACTCACCCGCTCCCCACTCCGAAGAGCAGTCCCATCCAGTCTCGAGGCTTCAACACCATCTAAACACCAACAGATCCTCAAATCTGCCCCATGACCGTAAACTGCCCTCCCATCATCCTCTCTGTCTCACTAAGGGCAGCCCTACTCTCTTGGATGCTTGGGACCCGCACCTGGGAGTCATCGTCAACCCCTCTCTCTTTCTCACTCCCACATCAGATCTGCTTCAGATGTTCCCGTGGACCACATTTCAAAAAGGGAGGCAAAATGCTGAGCTGAATTTAGTGGGTTTTCTCAGGAAGGGATCTCAGCATTCACTGAGGGAAACTGCAAAGATCAGGTGGTGGGTTTTAGCTATTGGTGAGATAAATCCTTCTAAGGTGAAAACTCCACAACCCTATGTGATACTAAAGAGATGCTCAGAGGGGAAACATGAAGCAGTGGCATCACTGGGAATTCATGTGAGACTGTGTACCTCCCCCAAGGGCTGGCCAGATTAACAGAGGACTACCCTCACAGGGGAGGAGGATGACAAAACCAGAAAGAAGAATGGCTTAAGCCTTGATGCTGTGTTCCCACTTCTGTAAAGAGTGAGGGAAGAAAATGAGTAAATATAAAACCATGAAGAGATTCCTCCTCATATCCCACCCTACCCCTCCTGGACTGACAGAAAAATTTAAAGGCAAATAATATGAGTGCCAGCAAGGATGCGGAGCAATGGGAACCCTCATCTACTGCTGGGGGAACCCCTCTGGAAAACCATCTGTAAATTTACAGGCAGAGTTGAAAATAGGCCAATCCAGCAATTCCACGCTGAGGCGTAGATACTCAGGAGGAAATACATGGCCGAGAATGTTCATGGCATCTCTGATCATGACAGCCTCAAAGGGAAACAACTCACAAGTTCCTTGACCAAAGATGGAGAACGCACAAGAAGCAGGGGAATAGTACGCAGCAATGAAAAAGGATGAGCCAGACTACAGGCGGCGGCACAGATGCTGCCGACATTACACTGCCACATAGGACTTGACATCCCGTGTGGTTCCGTTTATGAGATGTTCTAAACAGACAAAGCCAACCCACTGCAGATAGGAAGCCAACTTGGATGGAGAAACCATAATGTAAGTGAGGAAGAAACAGTAGCTGCCACCAGCATGGCTGTTCCCTGAGGGGCAGAATCAAGTGCAGATCACCTTGAGGGGGGCCTGCTGGAGTGGGGAGGCTTGGGAAGGTAGAGACGGCCCCCGTCTCTTTTTTTTTTTTTTTTTTTTGGCGGCATCACACATAATGCAGGATCTTAGTTCCCCGACCAGGGATTGAACCTGTGCCCCATGCAGTGGAAGCACGGAGTCCTAACCACTGGACAGCCAGGGAATTCCCAAGACAGCCCGTCTTGATCCAAGTGACTTTTCCCCTGGCACTTGTTTCATGATTACTCCTTAAACTTAGTATTTTTCTGTATACATGTCATCTGTTACAATTTTTTTGAAGGTAAAAAATAATCACCTATGCCTAAGCTCACGTCTGCAAATATATTTGGGGACAGGAGTGGGAGGAAGATATTTCCTGGAAATCCCACAGGTACTTTTGGAATTTCGTCAATGTATGTCTTGTTGTGCTCCCACCCCTCCGACAAAGCATTTCTTTAAATGAGAACGGCAAACTGCCCCACATCAGACAGCTGAGGGGCAAAATGACGACACTGCTCTCAGAAGCCTGCGAAGAATGAATGGACGTCCTTGCGGATAGGAGAGGGCAGGAAGAGGCACGGTTTCCAAGACTGTTCTCAACTCTGGAGCCACACACTCTTGGGCTACTTCCCCCCAAGAGACCCTTGAGAGGGACCTAACCACTTTGGGTTTTCGTTTCAATAGTTATACCGATGTCAACGGGCTCTGGTGACAATTAGTGACATCTCAGATGGGGACCAGCATGCGATAAGCACATTAGAAGTGCTGGTCATGGGAATTCCGTGGCGGTCCAGTGGTTAGGACTCCAGGCTTCCACTGCAGGGGTCATGGGTTTGATCCCTGGTCGGGGAACTAAGATCCCGCAAGCCAAGCCAAGCCACACAGCCCAAAAAAAAAAAAAAAGTGCTGGTCCTTATCACCATTCCAGATTGGACTTTATTTTAAAGAGTACAAGTCAAAAAAAAAGAAAAGAACATTATGTTGCATACAATACTATTTGTGCGTGTTGTGTACATTCATAAGAGTTTGTTTGTTGTTGTTCCTTTTGGCCATGCCTCGCGGTTTGCAGGATCTCAGTTCCCTGACCAGCGATCGAACCCGGGCCCCTGCAGTGAAAGCGCCGAGTCCTAACCACTGGACCACCAGGGAATTCCCGAGTTTGTATTTTTAAGTTGTCCCCCCAAATCTTTGTTTTAAATGGACCTGTTCATTAGGAAACTGGGGGACTGCCTAATATTCAGATTACTATGGCATTTGTGGATTGAACAGTTGAATGAACAAGCAGGTGAATATACGCCTAGGTCTGAGCATGTAGATACCTGGGTGCCCACCAGTCTGCTGAGGAGACCTTGTCAGAGGGTGGCTGGAAGACTTGAGCCGTTTGCTTGTGGTTCACTGGGGCCCCAGGATCTTTCTCTGCTTTTCTTACCCTGAACTCTATAGAGTATCCATTCCCCAGGATGAAACCCAGGGCCTCTCTTTCTCACTTGAGTGGACGCCAGGACCCAAGGACATAGGGACTGAGAGGCAAAAAAACAGCAATAACCTCCCCAAGCTCAGAAACACCAAAGGTCCAAGAGAGAGGAACGATTCAGAGACACAGAGATAACAGAACATAAAAATTGCCCAACCACTATGCCCCAGACACCAGGTCACAATGTCCCTCCTCTGTTCCGAACTCTTCATGGCCCCCACCTCACTCAGGGTAAAAGTTAAACTCCTCCGCACAACCCACAAGCCCTGTACAACCTGCCCCCCTCCTCACTCTGCTCCAGCCTGACTGGCTTCCTCAGATGCTCTGTGAACATCTGCTCCTGCCCCTGGGCCTTTGCACTTGCCCTTCCCCCGTGTTTGGACTGCTCTTCCCCCATGTCTGGGCATGGACCCCTCCCTCACCTCCATCAGATCTTTGTTTAAATGCCACCTTCCCCTCCAGGCCTTCCTGACCCGCCTCCCAGATCTAAAATAGTCCTCACATTCCCCATCTCCCTTCTCTGCCTTGTATGTCCTGATACCACTTACCACTAACATATAATCTACTTTATCCTGCTTCTCCTCTGCCTCCCCCACTGTATCTGCCCCCAAGGGTGGGATATTTTCTTGTGTCTCCGTCAGGGCAGGGCTGACTCTTTCACCTGGGGGTGATCAGGGGAGGTCCCTGCCCGCCTCCCGCCCCACCCCACCCCTGCCCCGCTGCGAGAGAAACACCCCCCACCCCAGCAGATTCTGAACCCACTATTGGAGGCAAAGACCCGAATGGGTGAAAGGCTCTTCAGCCCCAGAGAGTCTGACATCCCCCTCCCTGGCCAATCTCTTACAATCACCAGTGGCCACGGAAATGGATCCCCCAGCGCCTGGCGCCTGTCCCCTCCCCCCGTCTGCCCACCAGCTGGTTCCGTCCCCCGCCCCCACTCCTTCCATTCAATCACCATCCATCTCCAGAGCGTCCAGCCGGTGCTGGGAGAGCCTGAAGCAGGGCTGGGGGCGGGGGGACATTCACAGCTGTCCCCTGCCCCCCAGACAGCTGGGCACGGGACCCTCGCGGGGAGAAGATCACGGGAAACTTCCCGAGGGGGTTCAAAGGCCGCCAGGAGCACCATCCCTGTTCCCAAATCTCGGCGCCTGATGCGTCCCTGCCCCACACCAGGCCCAGAGAATGGGACGGAAAAAGCCCCCCAACTCCCACGCTTGAGGAGCTAGGGGGCCGGGGGAGGGGCCAGGAGATGGGTAGGAGGCGCGGAGGGCGCCGGGCAGCGCTTTCGCCGCGCCGCCTCCTCCAGGAAGGCCCCCCCGGGCACGCCCCCACGCGTCCCACCGGTTCCAAGGGAAGACCTCAGCCACCACCGCGCCCGCAGCCCCTCCGCGACCCCCAGCCCGGAACCCCCCCCGCCCTCCCCACCTCCCCACGCCTGCGCCCCCGGCCGGAGGAAGCGGGCCGGAGCTGGCCAAGGCGGAAGGAGCTTGAATGGGGGGCGCCCAGAAGAGGGAGGGCCGGGCCGCCCCTGGGCGGGGCTCGGACACGTGGGGGCGGCCCGGGAGGGGGCCCGGCGGCCGCACTACCTGTTGATCTTGTGCGCGAAGGCGCGGCGCTCGGCTACCGCCATGGCGCTCCGCGCGTCCAGCCGCCGGCCCCGCCGCTGCAGCCGCGCGCACCGTCCCCGCCGTGGCCGCCGCCACCGCCGCCTCCCGGTTCTGGGCAGCCCGGGCTGGGCGGGGCCGGGGGCGGGGCCCTTCCGGGTGCCCCGGGCCGCTCCGTGCTGCCCCTGCCGGCCGGAGGGGGCGCGGGTCCCCCGGCAGCCTTTGCGCTCTCGAGGCTGGCCTGGGGAAACTGAGGCGGGCAGGGGAGGAGAGGATACGGGACTGAGGCTGGGGGCCTCGGACTTCCTCCCGGGGGCTGCTCTTTCTGCCCTCTGGCTAGCAATCACTATAATCACCATCATAATTATAATCTCGAGCGTTTATTAAGCACGGCCCTGTAGTTGTGATATGTGGGAGGACCTATCCTTTCCGCCATTTTACAGATGAGTAAACTGAGGCACAGGGATGTTCAGGCGCTTACCTAGGGGTCTCCATGGGATGTGCCCCAGTCTGGGGTGAGGGCAGAGGAGTCCAGTTGGGCTCCAAGGCGCTAGGAGATGTGACACAGGACCCGGTGGTGGGACCTGAGTGAGCCAGTCTGGGAGGCTGGACCGGCCCAGCCGCCTCCGGTGCAGGGAGGATGTGCGGATGTCTCGGCCAGTATGTGGTCTAGAATCTCTCCCCAAAGTTTCCTCTACCAGCCCCAAGGCAGCAGTCTTAGCGGATTCTCCAGCCCCCACTCAGCATCCACATATGCCAATTTCTGGCTCACCTCCCAGGCTTTGCATGCCCAGGTGCCTCCTCCTGATGGCCCTTCTAGCCCTGGTTAGAAAAGGTCCTAGGAACTTGGGGCTGAAGAATGCTAGGGCTCAGCTCTACCTCAGGGCCTTTGCATGTGCTCTTCCCATTCCTGTGTATGGGTGCTGTCATTATTCCCCCCTTTTACAGATGAGGAAACAGAGGCCCAGGACTTCCCTGGTGGTCCAGTGGTTACAACTTCGCCTTCCAATGCAGGGGGTGAGGGTTCGATCCCTGGTCGGGGAGCTAAGATCCCACATGCCTCAGCCAAAAAACCAAAACATAAAACAGAAGCAATATTGTAACAAATTTGGACCTCCCTCGTGGTGCAGTCGTTAAGAATCCGCCTGCCAGACACGGCGGGGCCCTGGTCCGGGAAACTCCCACACACCGCGGACTAAGACAGTGGGCCACAACTATTGAGGCTGCGCTCTAGAGCCCGTGAGCCACAACTCCTGAGCCCGCGTGCCACAACTACTGAAGCCTGTGCTCCGCGAGCCCGTGCTCCGCAACAAGAGAAGCCACCGCAATGAGAAGCCCATGCACCGCAATGAAGAGTTGCCCCCGCTCAGCACAACTAGAGAAAGCCTGTACACAGCAACAAAGACCCAACACGGCAAATAATAAAAATAACTAAGTAAAATTTTAAAAATATATATTGTAACAAATTCAATAAAGACTTTAAAAATGGTCCACACCAAAAAAGATCTTTAAAAAAAAAAAAGAAAGAAAACTGATCCTGAGCCCACAGGAGGGAGGCCTGGACTGTGGGGCCCCAGGCTCATGAGGGCACAGGAGGGTGGCTCCCAGCCTGGCATGGACATGTGCACATGTGTGTCAGCAGCCCACGCACCTTCCCAAGTGGTCCAGCCACTTTGGCCCGGGAGATGCCAGGTGTAACCCTGCTCATCACGCCCTGGTGTGCCCCACCCCGGGTCACCCTTGCTGCAACCTGCAGCCTCCCAGGCTAAAGTCCTTGCCTCGCCTTTCAGGCTGCTGGTAGCTGCTGGGCAGGAAACGTGAAGATGAACAAAGACTGGCGGGTTTCTCCGCTCCTCTTTGCCTATTTCCAGTCCAGCCCCCATCATACCTGGTCTCCCAGCTCCCGCCCTTACCCCTCACAGTTTGTTTTCCCCTCTATGGTCAGAAGGAGCCTGGGAACACCCGAATCAGATCAGCTCCCTCCTCTGCTTAGAATCCTTCATGGCTCCCACCTCATTCAGAGTAAAAGCCAAAGTCCTCACTGTGGCCCACAAGGCCCTGCATGATCTGACCTTGTCACCTCCCTGCCATCCCCTCCTCCCATTGTCTTCCTTAATCACTCCACTCCAGCTGCCCACCTCTTCCATGTGGCTCTAAAGACTAGGGCGCAACTCCACCTCAGGGCCTTTGTACATGCTGTTCTCCTTCCCACGTGTGGGTGCCATCACCATACCCCTTGTACAGATGAGGAAACTGAGGCTCAGGGATGCAGAGTGACTTGTGCCATTTTACCCAATGAATCAGTGTCAGATCTGTCATTCCAGATCTGTGGCCCAGGGAGCCTGACTCCAAAGTGGTTGTCTCTAAATACCAGCTTGGGGACTTCCCTGGTGGTCCACTGTTTAAGAATCCGCCTTCCAATGCAGGGGACGCGAGTTCAATCCCTGGTCGGGGAACTAAGATCCCACATGCTGCAGGGCAACTAAGCCTGTGGGCCACAACTAGAGGGCCCACACGCTGCTACTACTGAGCCCACGTGCTCTGGAGCCCACCCGCCACAGCTAGAGAGAAGCCCGCACGCTGCAACGAAAGATCCCACATGCCACAACAATGATCCTGTGTGCCTTAACTAAGACCCAATGCAGCCAAATAAATAAATAAATAAATATTTTAAAATAAAAAAATAAATAAATACTAGTTGGGGGACTTCCCTGGCGGTCTAGTGGTTAAGACTCTGCGCTTCCAATGCAGGGGGCACTGGTTCGATCCCTGGCCGGGGAATTAAGATCCCAAGTGATGCTCAGGAATGGCCAAAAATAAAAAATAAAATAATAAAATAAACACCACTTGAATCCCAATCCAGGCCAGGCTGTGTGACCCAGGGTAAATCTCTCAACCTCTCTGAGCCTCTGTTTCCTCATCTGCTCAGTGAAGGGTGTGGTCAGCACTAAGCTCCAGGCCCTTGTGGGAGCTGATTCCACACAGGATCCAGTGGGGGCTATGAGCCCTGTCTTAGTGGAAAAACTTCTTCAAGGAACCCTCCAAATAAAGGTCCTGCTCCAGCTACCTGCCCACCCTGGTGCCCGCCAGACTTGATTAACAAGGCAGTTCCTCTCCAGGATACGACCAGGCCTGACTCAGCCAGGCGGGGCTGGGGTGACCCCGGCAGCTGCTCAAACAGAGGCTGAGCTTGGTGGGGACTTTGGCCTCCTCTGGCTGGTGTGGGAGAACAGCCTGTGGGGTCTGATGGCAGCAGCTTGCGGACCTAGGAGGAGGGACTGCACTGGTCCAGGTGGTGAGTTCAGAGTAGGAATGATCACAGGCAGGGCTTGGAGTCCAAAAAGACCTGGATTCCAATGCTGGCTTGGCCACAGCCAGGCTAAGTGACCTGGATGGGGTGGGGGGTGGGGCTCTCTGGACCTCAGTTTCCTCACCTGTGAAATGGGGATGTTACCTTCAGAGCCGACCCTGTGGGCCCATGTTCGGTGCCCATGAGATGTTGTCAGGAGAGCACAGAACCCGGGAGATGCTGCCTTTGTCCTATTGTTTTTCCTGCTGCTTCTGGAGCCGGGGGAGGAAGCTGGGAGCCAGCTCAGGGTGTCCAGGCCTGCCTTTGGGAGTTTAAGTCACAAAGACAAAGGCTGGGCCCAGAGAGGCCAGAGGGGCAGGCCACAGGCTTCCTGTTTTTCTTTGAACAGATGGCCAAGCCTCCAGATGCTTGTCTGTGTGGATGCTAATCCACGTCCCTGGTAATCACTTCTTATCCCTCCTGGTGACACTTCTGTCCAGTTTGCTCATTTCCAGTGCTCTTGTCACATTCCAACGTCTGGGAATTTTTCTCCAGGGGTCCCAGATACCCAAGGGGTCCACAAATAGAAGTCGGGGGGGTCCATGAATTTGGAGGGGAAAAACTTGCATCACTCACGCCTGCCCCTGCTCCTAACGTTAACAGTCATTAGAGCTGCTACCGGGCCTCGGTATTTAAGTGTGAGGAAAGATGTACAAATTCCATCACAATTAAAGCATATTTTGATAACTGTATCGCATGTAATGGGTTTGTAATGGGTTTCCTTTACCATCTGAGGTGTTTTATTTTAGGCACTTACAAACTTCCGCTGATAAGGGCCCACGGCACAAAAAGGTCCCCCTACAACACGCCTTTCCCTGCCTAAAGCCTGCTGTGGCTCCCCATTGCTGCAGGAAGGAGCCAAGCTCCTCCCTGTGGCCTACAGACTCCCTCATCTGCCCCATAAGACTGCTCCCCCTTCCTTTCCTCACCTCATTCATTCACGCCAGCAACATTTATTGAGCGCCTGCTGTATGCCAGGCATGGGAAGGAGGTAATGTCAGTGCTGAGACCTGAAGTTCAGGCTGAGTTGGGGAGGCAGGGAGTTCTAGGCAGACGGACCAGCAAGGCAAAGATGGAGAGAAGTAGAAGTCACCCGTGTGGAGCGCAGGGAGGAGAGGATGAGACTCAAGGGTGGTGAGTTTGTGGGATCAGGTCCTGCAGGACCTCCCAGTGGGGGCCTGGGCATAGCCCAGCGGGCAGTGGGGAGCCCTGGAGGGGTGCATAGCAAGACAGGGGCACCCTCTGGTTTGTTTCAGGAAGATCTGATTCTTCTGTCCGGACTGGCCCCTACAGTGACCTTTTCTCCTCTCGAGTTCCCTGTGTCACCTGTCCCACCATTGAAGCACAAGTGTGAGTTGGCTGTAAGGAACTGGGGCACACGTTGCAAGAACTTTCTCACCGACCGACCAGGGCTCCGGGGGACACCTTGCCTCTGTGAGATGGAACCTCTGAGGCACATTCACCAGATGAGCCAACTAGGCTCAGAAAGACTCTGGCGACCCAGCTGAGAAGTAGTGGAGTTAGGACTTGAACCCAGAGCCACCTCTTGCATGAAAGCCCTGCCCTCCATCCTGTGGCATTTCCTCCTTAGCACAACTTTTTGGAGCAGGCGGCAATGACTTCCACAAAACTCTATCCTCTAGGTGGAACAAGTTTTCTCAGGCCAGCAACTTCCTGTATCTTTACCACTGCACCTTGCAGTGGTTACGGGCTCCGATGCTCGGGTTCAAATC